TACCAGTCATTGTCAGTTATAATATTATGGTTATTTGTTTAAAGCCCTTAATTTAAAAAACGTTCTGGACTTTTTAAAAAAGGAGATCACAAAGTACTAAAAGTTTATATAATCCTTGGATAGGGATGGACTTCCTAAGCATGACAACAAAATGAGAAATCCTAAAGATTTTACTGAAGGAAACTTTAAAGCTTTAGTATATCAATAAAGACTGTAAACAAAAGTAAAAGCTAATCAACACACTCGAGAAAAATATTTGTAGTATATAAATGACAAAAGATCAATATTATAAAAAGCCTTCAAAAATCAACAAGAGGGCTTCCCTGGTGGCGCAGTGGTTGAGAGTCCGCCTGCCGATGCAGGGGACACGGGTTCGTGCCCTGGTCCGGGAAGATCCCACATGCCGCGGAGCGGCTGGGCCTGTGAGAGGCCCGCGTACCACCAAAAAAAAAACACAAGAAAAGATGAATGTTCAGTATAAAAATGAGCAAAGTAGTACATAGTCAAGGCACCAAAAAGATATAAATGACTGATAAATTGTGAAAAAATGTCCAGCCATTAGTAATCAAAAAAATGCAAGTGAAACAGCCAGGCCATTTTTCAAATTGGCAAGAGTACATCAAGGCCAAAGCATGAAGCTGTGGAGTTTGGCTGCAGCCGACAGATGATCGGCATCATTGAAGGATCATAAGCAGGAACTATGTCTAGTCAGAGGCATCTGGTGCCTTATATAGGGTGGTAGAGAGCTGTGAGACCAAAGGCTGGACTAGCAGTCCAGGGGTCGGGGGAGCACAAAGCATGGGAAGAGAACAGTTGTGTTGAGAGAATTCAAAGGAGAAATCAGCTGGTCTTGATGGCTTAGCAGACAGCCAAATCAAGATGGCCAGGGCTGTGGGGTGCCTGGGAGGACAGTGGCACTGTTGAGGGAAACAGGGATGCTGGGGAGTGGGTCAGGGAAGTCCAAGGTTTGTTTTTTGGTGCTGTGGGTCTTTGTGGTAGTTTAGAGCCTCATTACTGGCTACCAATTCAAATGATTTAATCTACAAAAAAATTTGCTGCCTCACACAATTGACAAGTCCTGGGTTAAAGTTTTGGGCACATCTGGATCTGGGTGCTCAAGGGATGTCATGAGGAGTCTTTTTCTTCTTCTCACCCAGAGAGAGGACAGAAAGGGCCACCAGCAGCTCCAGCCTCACACTCTGCCGGCTGAGCACAGGTCTAGAGTGGCTGTATTGGCCTGGCCTAGGAAACTCGCCCGGTACAGAGTGATAACTGTGACTGATGGACAGGCCAAGGCCACATGAGCTCCCCTAAGGCCTGGGGGTGGGGTCAGCCCTACCCAAACAACATCGACTCAGAGTGGGGGGGAAACGGTTCTCCAAGGGAAAACTGGGGTGTCTGCCTACAAAGGGGGACTGGAGTTGAACAGCAAAACCAATAAATGTCCACTACCTTCCACCTCTGTCCAAGATCTAGACAGATCCCCCTTCTCGTATAATTTTAAAACTTTCTCTGTTTCTCATAATGCAATTGTCCCTCACAAAACTTAAAACACACTTGTCCCACCTCCGGAAGGAGACGTTCCAAGTTCTCACCACTTACCATGCCCAGCCCCAATTCAAGATCTTATCTGTCGTGGTACTGAGCTAGCCCCTCATGGTCTTTCAATTTATGGCCAAACTACAATGATGGAAGAAAAATCGGATAACTGAAAGAACAAAACCCTCCCAGTTGAAGAGGGGAGGTGAGGGAGAACACTCAGGGGTCATAAGTCCATAGCCCAGTCCACATGCTTGACCAGTCGGCGTGGATGAGGTTCCCTGGCCCACCTATCGGCTGCTCTGGTTCTGCTGTCTCGGAGAGCATCCCTTATCCTTCATGCTCTGTGGCCATGTGCAAAAGGGCAAAAGGGGCTTTGAGGGGTCACCTCCCATTGGTGCAGGTTTGGGGGTGGGAAACTTTAGGGGCTGAGTAATCCCTGGCCTTTGTTTTCCAGGTTTGTGGGTTTTTCCTGGCAATACAATCCCTTTAATGATTAGAAAGCTCTCAGTCAGTTCGTATTCAGCCATCCCCAGAGCTATTAACCAAACTAGAGACCTATTGAAAGTTATAATTCTTTATTTTTATTTATTTTTATTTTTTTTGCGGTACGCAGGCCTCTCACTGTTGTGGCCTCTCCCGTTGCGGAGCACAGGCTCTGGACGCGCAGGCTCAGCGGCCATGGCTCACGGGCCTAGTCACTCCACGGCACGTGGGATCTTCCCGGACCGGGGCACGAACCTGTGTTCCCTGCATCGGCAGGCGGACTCTCAACCACTGCGCCACCAGGGAAGCCCGGAAGTTATAATTCTTGAATCAAGTCCCTGGTGATGCTGTTGGGGGAGGAGGAGGAGTTGTCTCTTAGCAACAGGGCTTGATGCTCTGCCTGTCCCAGGAGCCCATGGTTCTGTGGCTCTAGCTAGGCCTCTGCCGCAGGGCAATGCAAACTCCTAGTCTGTGATGAGAGGCAGAGTTCGTTTGCCCCTTCTCCCTCAAGCTGCATCCCACTGGAAGGCTGCTTGTATTGGAAGCAACGGTTGCCTCTGTTGAGCTGGGAGGGCACAGCAGGAGGGGTTCAAGAAGCCCTGAGGAGTGAAGAGCCTATCAGGCCCCAGGTTTGTCTCCCTCTGCGTTTCCAGCCTGCCTGTCTTTGCTTGAGCTGACTTTAGCTAGAAGCAGAGAACTGGCTCTTAATTATCTGACTCTCAGCCATATTGAATTACTGGCCTCAGGCAGAAAGGGCCTCTCTGGGCAAAGGAGCATTTTCTTCCTCTCTGCTTTCAGATGGGCCGCTTTTAGCCAGAGTGTGTCTCTTTCTTGTTGGACATTTTTCTGCAAGTCCCCTAAAGTTCCAGCCTTGGTAGGAACATCTGAGCTCTAGAGGCCGTGGGAGAGTTTCATCAGCTGGTTTGCTGCTGTGTAGCAGGCTTCACCGACTTCTAAGCAGGGGAAGCGGTACGGTCCCTCTTCAGCTAATTCCTTCTAAAATTTTTTCCCAAAAAATTTGACTTCTGATTCTAATCTCTGAGTTTGGAATTTTTTCTGGTGCAGATAACACAGACCCAACTCCAACTGGCTAAAGCAAAAGGAATTGATTGGCTCACACAATTGAACAGACCAGGATCTCAAACAGTGTGAGGAATCTCTCTCCATCTCACTTCTACCTGTCTGTGTTGGCTTCATTCCCAGGTGGTTCCTCCCAAAGGAGGCAAAGATGGCCCTCACAGCTCTGGCCCTCCCCATCAGCTTTGAAACCTGAGCCCAAAGAGGATGCTTTCCCCAGTAATGCCAGAGAAGTCCCGGAGAAATGACTCATTGACTCAAGTTGGGTGATCTGTGCCCATCTCAGGACTCTGATTGGCCAGGCCTATGTCACATTCTTACCCCTGGAGCAAGGGTGAACCATCAACCCCCACCCAGACCACATGGACTGAGAAAGTGGGGAAGGAAGGATGGTTCCCCAAGGTCAAAGCAGGGTGCTGTTGCCAGGGGGATGACTGGGTGCTGGGCTGGCAAAGGGAACAGGCATCCACCCATACATCCATGTGGAAAGCCAGAAGGCAAACGGAACTCAAGAGTAGGTCAGGATGGAGAGGTAGAGCTGAGAGTCAAGGCTTAAAGATGTGAGTAGGGCTTCCCTGGTGGCGCAGTGGTTGAGAGTCCGCCTGCCGATGCAGGGGACGCGGGTTCGAGCCCCGGTCCGGGAGGATCCCACATGCCGCGGAGCGGCTGGGCCCGTGAGCCATGGCCGCTGAGCCTGCGCGTCCGGAGCCTGTGCTCCGCAACGGGAGAGGCCATAACAGTGAGAGGCCCGCATACCGCAAATACATTAAAAAATTAAAAAAAAAAAAAAAAGATGTGAGTAAACCAGACTGTGGGAGTGAACCAGAGAGAGGCAAAGGGGGCTTGAAGGCAGACCTCCCATCAGGAGATAGGAAGATTAGGAAGACAGCAAGAAGAAAAGGTCAGAGAACCCAAACGGGGCAGCTTCATGGCAGCCTATGAACATGGAGCGGTCAGTAGTATTATCCAAGGGACGAAGTAGGTGAAGACCCTTGATGACAACTACATTGTCCGATTAGCAGGTGGTCTGTGACTTGAAGAGCACAGTGATAGCAGAGGTGGTTGAAGCCTGGTAGCAGGCAGTTAGGAAGAGGAGGGCAGTGAAGAATAGGGTGGGGATCCCACAAGGCAGGGGAAGGGTGACCGGAAGCCAGAGAAGAGGGGGGATGGGCAGCAGGCATTCAGGGTGACCAGGAGTGGGATGCCAGGAAGGGTGGTGACTTGTGCCAGAAGGAACCTGGAGAAGACAAGTATCATGGCCCTTGAGGCAAAGGGCAGAGCAGGGATGGGAGGGAGTGGGACAGAAGCAGAAACGGGAACAGTGACATACATAGGTATCATCAGGTGAGGTGACATCTTGGTCACTGCAACATGGTACCAGTAGTCCTGCTGGTCTAATGAGTGTGGTTTGCAAGACACGAAATAAGCATTTTTTTTGAGATGTAATAAGCTAGTACATATAGTACACTAATCGTAAGTGTACATAGGTGTAAACTGTATAACCTTACATATACACCTGTATAACCACCACTCATATCAAGATAGAGAGCATTTTCAGCATTACGTAAAGTTCCCTCCTGCCCCTGCCCAGTCTGTATAGGCCCCAGGGGTAAACTCTATTCTGACTTCTGTCATCATCAATTTAGTCTGTTCTTGAACTCCATATGTGTGGAATCCAGCAGTATGCAATCTAGTCTGGCTTCTTTCATGCAGCATAATATTGAATGGATTCACCCATGTTGTTGCATGTACCACTAGTTCCTTTTCTTATTGCTGGGTAACATCCCATTATGAATATAACACAATTTATCCATTCTACTGGTGATGGGCACTTCGGTTATGTCCAGGTTGTAACTATTATAAATAAAACTAATGCTTTTTTTTTCTTTCTTTCTTAGAGAATTCTCATTCTTTCTCACTCTCATACATGCACAGCCCTCACACAGGTACTGGAGCAGGCCAGTCCCTTCTGGGAGGTCTGGCCATTGGTCTCCCCTCGCCTCTCTCTTCTGGGCACGTGTTTTCTGGGGAAGTCAATTTTGTCATGGGTGGGGGATACGGGTTGGAGGTGGGGAGGGATACCAACCTCCTAAGGCTTGCTCCCTCTCTTCTAGCCTCCTTGCCCCTGGCCGCCAGCGCCGAGTCTGCCTGACCCCTCAGGGGGGCTCGCCCGCGGCCCCCCATGAGCGCGCCCGGCTGACTCTCAGGGCGGCCGCGGTGGAGCCCGGGAGCCGCGGGTACGGCGGGACCATGGCCTCGCTGGACCTGCCCTACCGCTGCCCCCGCTGCGGGGAGCACAAGCGCTTCCGGAGCCTGTCGTCGCTGCGCGCGCACCTGGAGTACAGCCACACGTACGAGACGCTCTACATCCTCTCCAAGACCAACAGCATTTGCGACGGCGCCGCGGCGGCCGCGGCTGCCGCCGCCGCCGCCGCCGCCTCCGGCTTCCCTCTGGCGCCTGAGCCTGCCGCCCTGCTGGCCGTGCCAGGCGCCCGGCGCGAGGTCTTCGAGAGCACGTCCTTCCAGGGCAAGGAGCAGGCGGCCGGGCCGTCCCCCGCGGCGCCACACCTGCTGCACCACCATCACCACCACGCACCCCTCGCCCACTTCCCTGGCGACCTGGTGCCCGCCAGCCTGCCCTGCGAGGAGCTGGCTGAGCCGGGCCTCGTGCCCGCCGCCGCCGCGCGCTACGCGCTACGCGAGATCGAGATCCCTCTAGGGGAGCTATTCGCCCGCAAGTCCGTGGCCTCCTCGGCGTGCTCGACGCCGCCGCCCGGGCCTGGCCCCGGGCCTGCCTCTGCCTCGCCCGCGTCTCCCTCGCCCGCCGATGTGGCTTACGAAGAGGGCCTGGCTCGCCTTAAGATACGCGCGCTGGAGAAGCTGGAGGTGGACCGACGGCTGGAGCGGCTGAGCGAGGAGGTGGAGCAGAAAATCGCGGGCCAGGTGGGCCGGCTTCAGGCCGAGCTGGAGCGCAAGGCGGCGGAGCTGGAGACTGCGCGGCAGGAGAGCGCGCGGCTGGGGCGCGAGAAGGAGGAGCTGGAGGAGCGCGCTTCCGAGCTCTCGCGCCAGGTGGACGTGAGTGTGGAGCTGCTGGCCTCGCTCAAGCAGGACCTGGTGCACAAGGAACAGGAGCTGAGCCGCAAGCAGCAGTGAGTGGCCCGAAGGGCCTTGTGGGTGGGTGTGTCCGCGAATGTTCCTGAGTAGGTGACCACGCGTGTCACTGTGCCGCCGCCACCACTGTGAGTGTGGCTATGTATGTGCCCAAATTATATGGGATCTGTGGCCACTAGCATGTAATGGTGGTGCGCGTGTGGCCAAGAGTGTCATGAAGGTGTGTGTTTAGGACTCTGAGTCCATGGCAGCGTGACCGCGTGTGTAAAGACGGTTTCTCTTCGTTATCTGACCTCCTACCAAGGCCAGTTCCTGATTGTGACACCAGATCGTTTTCCCTTTTGCCTACTCAAAGACATGGCTCAATTCTCCCTTCTCCCTTTGCCCCCGTCAGGTTTTCCCTATCTACTGTATCATTACTGAAAACATACAGACATACGGTCCTTTCTCCACTCTGCCTAACCCTATCTCCCCCTTAAGCTACCACCCCTTCTCTCCTCCTTACAGAAAAACTCCTTGAAAATATTGTTTCTACTCCTCATCTTCAATTTCTTTCCCCATTTTCTCTCTTGAACCCACTCTGATCAGTTGTCCACCTCCATCACTATCCTCCATGTCATAAATGACCTTCACGTTACCGAGGCCAAGTCATCATCTTACTTGGCCCATTGGCAGCATTTGACACAGCTGATCCTTGAAATGCCTCTTTAACTTGGCTTCTTAGACACTCTCCTTGGAATTACCATCTCTCTTTCTATTGGCTTCTTTTCAGTCTTCTTTGCTGGCTTCTCCTCATTCCTCTGGTCTTTCAGTGTAGAATTATGAAGTACACAGATGTTATTTATTTGTCCCCATTGTGATATAAGCTCCATGGGGGCCAGGAATTTTTCTCTGCTTTGTTCACTGATGGGACACCCTAACACCTAGAATGGTGCCTGGCACCTAGAAGGTGCCTGTAAATGGTGAATGGATGCATGAACAACTGTGAATGCACTCGAGAGTAAATACTCACATGACTGTTAAGTATACTGTGTGTCCGTGCAACTCCTGGAGGTTGGTGCAACTATAAGTGTGCTTTTCTGAATCTGAGAATGTTTCTGAAAGTGTGTGTGTTTGAATGTGTTGGTAGGACTGTGCCTCAGACTGTGTGCCTGTGAATGAACGGGATACGAGTACGTGTACATGAGCGTGGGGGGCTGTCTGCTGGGCTATGTGGACTGTAAGTGTGTGCCTGTGAGTGTTTCTGGAGAGGGGAGGTGGCTGTGTGTGACTGAGCACGCCTGTGAGTATTTCTGTGGGGAGCAGCGGTGTCTGGTTGTGTGTTTGGGCCTGGGTTGGTGGGGTGTGCGTGTATGACTCGGAGCATGCGCTTGCATTTCTGTGTGTGCCGTTGTGTTGTGTGGGGCAGTGTTCCTGGGTGTGTTCTGTATGTACCCATGTGACCACGAGCGGACCCTGCGGCCAGCTGTGCCCCTGTCTCTCCCTACCGCTCAGGGTCTCCTCCGGAGGGTGGGTGGGCAGCCAGGCCAAGGCACTGGGGTAAAGAGACTGCTCCGGGCCCAGGGAGGTGGTGCAGATTGACCAGTTCCTGAAGGAGACAGCGGCGCGGGAGGCCAGCGCCAAGCTGCGGCTGCAGCAGTTCATCGAGGAGCTCCTCGAGCGGGCCGACCGCGCTGAGCGGCAGCTGCAGGTCATCAGCAGCAGCTGTGGCAGTACTCCCAGTGCCAGCCTGGGCCGCGGAGGTGGGGGAAGTGGTGCTGGGCCCAGTACCCGGGGCCCAGGCAGGACGGTGAGTGCCCACCTGCCTTCCCTCCTCTACCTGCACACCTGACCCCCTACAACCATGCCTCACACATGGCCTGACAACCCCCCGCCCCATGATGCTCCGTGCTTCCTTCTTTGGCTCTTCCCCATGAGCAGATTCCAGGCCTGAAGTTGGGGTCCAGGAATAGGGGAGCCCCTCTGACAGCAGACGTGCCAGCCCTGAGGCTGTAGTGAGATACCATCCAGCAACCCCAGTCCTCAGGCAGGGGTTTGCCTCTGCCCATCCCTGCAAATGAGAGCCCAGGAGCCACAGGCCGGGGTCTGGGGTGCTTGGTGGGTGTGGGGAGGGGGCTGGGGAGCCTGCCTCTCTGGGCTGTCTATCTGTCTACTTGTCCATCTTTCCCAACTGTTCTCCTTCTCTCTTCTCCACCCCCCCTTCTCTCCATCTTGTACCCTGTTTCTCCTGTTCCTTCTCATCCTCTGGCCTCCTCTGCCCCCTGCCCTTCCCTCCCACTCTGGGGGCCCACAGCGAGAACACCACGCGGGCCTGGCCATGCCTAGCACGTATGCAGTGTCACGGCATGGCTCCTCTCCCAGCACAGGGTAAGCCGCGGGCCTGGCCCGCCCCACACAGCCCACCCTCCCCCTGGAAAGATCCACTGGCTCGCTGGCTGGCTGGCCCATCTGGGCCGTGGCTTCCCCTTCTCCCCCTGTCCTTCTCGGGTCACCTCTGTCTGGCTTTCCACACTCAGAGGGGACTCTTGGAAAGTAAGGTGGGTGGGTTGCCCTTGGCCAGTGGTGGGGTGGCATGGGGAGTTCAGGCAGGCCTAGGACCCCTTGCTCCTCACCACCTGGTCCACCCTACCCCAGGGCCTGCAGTCGCATCCCAGCTGCATCCCAGAGCTCAGGCTGCTATGACAGTGACAGTCTGGAGCTGCCCCGGCCAGAAGAGGGGGCCCCTGAGGACAGTGGCCCCGGGGGCTTGGGCACACGGGTCCAGGCTGCCAATGGCGGCTTGGAACGGGCCCAGCCCCCTCGCAGCTCAGGCCTGCGGCGCCAGGCCATCCAGAACTGGCAGCGCAGACCTCGCCAACACAGCACGGAGGGGGAGGAAGGTGACGTCTCGGATGTGGGCTCCCGAACCACCGAGTCAGAGGCTGAGGGCCCCTCGGATGCCCCCCGCCCTGGGCCTGCTATGGCTGGGCCGTTGAGCAGCTGCCGGCTCTCTGGTGAGTCTCAGGAGGGGGACTGAGAGGCCCGTCTTTCCATGGTGCTGGGCGCTCTCGGGACACAGGGCTGAGGCAGTAAATCTCCTGGGCTTCTGCACCGCCTTTCGCCTTGCCCTAGACTTACCACAATGAGAATGACAAACTCCCTCCTGCACAGGGCCCAGCAAGTTTGGAGCAGGAGCTGCTGGGACAGGGCGGTGCTGTAGCACAGGGGCACTCAGGTTGGGTATTGCACAAGGATGCCACAGCTAAGGGGGTCCCTTCACATGACATTCACAGGAGAGGAGTTGAGTGTTCAAACTGAAGCCTGGGGACAGCAGGGCGAACCCTCTCCTGTATCCACACAAAGCCATGTGCATATGTGAGTGGGTCAGGGTCAGGAGGCTGGAGAGTTCAGGTCAGGGTGCATGGCTGTGCCTTGGTGACTGCTCTGGGCAACCTCTCGCCGGCATTCTGTTCACAGATGCAGGGTTTCTATCCAAGCCCCTTCCTTCTCCAACCTTGACTCAGTCACCTCATCTGGGGGATGACTTTGGACTGTGTGATGATATACGACCTTAAAAAGAAAGTTCCCTTGAGGAAGGGCCACCTTTTTCTAATTTGCAAAATTAGGAATGAGGGTGATGCAGAGGAGGGGGAAGCAGAGGCCCTTTGTCCCTCCTCCCAAGTTGCTGGTCCCCTGGGATGGTTCTGTCATGCCCATTCCTCCTGCAGCTCCTACCCTACCCCAGTTCCCCACCCATACCCCACACTGACCTTTGACCCCGTGATATTGTGCAGCCCGCCCTGAGGGAGGCAGTGGGCGGGGTCGGCGAGCTGAGAGGGGCAGCCCCTCACGCTCCAATGAGGTCATCAGCCCGGAGATCCTCAAGATGCGAGCCGCCCTGTTCTGCATCTTCACCTACCTGGACACGCGCACACTGCTACATGCCGCCGAGGTCTGCCGGGACTGGCGCTTCGTGGCCCGCCACCCTGCCGTCTGGACACGGGTGCTGCTTGAGAATGCCCGCGTCTGTTCCAAGGTGCCTGTCCCTGCCTGCCGCCCTGCCCTCCCAATCACCCTTGCTGTGAACCCACCTTTTTCCTGTCAGAGTCTGGCCCCGCAAGGTCTGGTCCTTGCAACCTTTTCAGCACCCCGGCTCCAACCTGACTCCCCGATATGCTCTTGTGAGGCCTCCTATCCTGGGGCTGGTCCACTTCCAACCAACCAAACTCAGATCCCCTCATCCCCAGGTAACCCCTCTCTCCCTGCAGTTCTTGGCAATGCTGGCTCAGTGGTGCACCCAGGCGCACTCGCTGACACTGCAGAACCTGAAGCCCCGGCAGCGGGGCAAGAAGGAGAGCAAAGAGGAGTATGCCCGGAGTACCCGGTGAGGCCACGGTGGGTGGGTGGGGGTTGCTTCTGGGCTGCAGACCCAGAGTGATGTTGGGATGCTTCCCAGAGGAGGAGCTGGCCACAAACAGTGCCCTGACCTCTTGGCTATCCCCAGGGGCTGTCTGGAAGCAGGGCTAGAGTCTCTGCTAAAGGCAGCTGGGGGGAATCTGCTGATCCTGCGCATCTCCCACTGTCCCAACGTCCTCACTGACCGTTCTCTCTGGCTGGCCAGCTGCTACTGCCGCGCCCTGCAGGCTGTCACCTACAGGTGGGTCCACACTGCAAGAAGCAAGGCCTCGGGCCCCAGGGATCCCTGGGCTCTGCATACCCTTCCCCCAGGGCTCTCGGGCAAAGGGACCCAAGAGCTCTGTGGCCCAAGGGAAAGGAGCAGAGGCCCTCAGAGTTGGTGGCCCCAGCTTTGTCTTTTCAACAGAAGCGCCACAGACCCGGTGGGCCATGAGGTCATTTGGGCCCTGGGCGCAGGCTGCAGAGAGATTGTCTCCCTCCAGGTGGCTCCACTTCACCCCTGGTGAGCCCAGGCATGGGTGGGGAAGGGCAGGGTTGGGGCTGGGTGTGGGGTTGAGGACTGAGCAGATCTGGGCCCATTCCATATGCAGTTTGGGGTGACAAACTCACATTCATCAGTCTGTGTCTTTAGGCAACAGGAGCAGGGCTTCAGAATCAGACTTGGGATCATGTCCTGGCCGGCTAGCAGTGTGACTTTGGGCTACCCAGTCGTGCCTTAGTTTCTCAGCTGTAAAGTGAAGGTGGTATTAGATCTGTCGATCTTATTAGGACTATAGCTGGCTCAAATGAGATGTGTGCATAAAGGCTGCAGAGCCCACAGTGGGCTATTTCCCACACTAGCTGGCAATAGCCAGGTTTGTTTGGCCCATGAAAGGCAGTTCAGGGAGGTCATCGTATAATGTACAAAAGGGCTGGTTTTCCGAGAATCCAGGGTGTGAGATCATTCATCGCTTTACTTGGAATTCCTCAAACATGCCAGGCTTTTTCACTCCCTGTGCCTGCCCTTCAAGCCCCTCTCCATGTGACACCTCCTTCCAGGTCCCCCAGTGTCCTGTCACTAACACCCTGGTAGCATTTGTCACTGCTCCCCTGTCTCCATTCCTCTGAGAGGAATGGCCCCTGCTGTAGTCCATTTTACAATAATTTCTCTATATTTCAGTCTACACCAGACTCATGTTTCTAAGGGCAGAGGCTGTGAATATCCATTTCTGTATCCCTGGTACTGAGCACGTGGCAGATGGTGGGCGATTGTTAAGTGATGAAGTGTTCAGGGAAGGAGCAAGTGTGGTGTGAGTGGTGGGCAGGGCCCAGCGAGCAATGAGTGTGGAAAGGAAGCTTTGGGCCAAGGTCAGAAGGCCTTGACTAAGGGGTTTTAGATGTTTGCATTTTGTCTAGAAAGCACTGGGAAGCCACTGGGGGATTTTAGATCTTAAAAAACGGGATGACATCAGACTAGGAATGTTCTGTGTCATCCCCCCCACTGCCCACCTCTTGGAGGCAGGGACCATGTCTCTGTGTCACCACTGTGTCCCCAGGGCCCAGCTCGATTGTTCTTGGTCATGACAGGCACTTGCGAAGCTTCTGTTGAATGACTGAGTGAAAGGATATGGGAGTGCGTGGCTGGCTGTCAGCAGCCACTGGATGAACTGACAGGGAGACTAGTTGTATACTCAGATGAATATGGATGGTGGTCTGAACTGCGGGTTGAAGAGTTATTCAGGAATCAGAATCTGCAGGTCTTGGCAGGAGGTGAGGGGGAGGAGTCAGGGAAGATCCCAGGTTTCTGACTTCAACAGCTGGGTGGTTGGTGGGGCCTCGCCTTTGAGGGGTGGGTCCTGACAGAGGAGCAGGCTCAGGGTATCATGCAGCCAGGGGCTTCCCTGACAGCCCTCCCTCCACCCTGTTCTCCAGCCAGCAGCCCACGCGCTTCAGTAACCGCTGCCTACAGATGATCGGTCGCTGTTGGCCCCACCTCCGGGCCCTGGGGGTCGGGGGTGCTGGCTGTGGGGTGCAGGGCCTGGCATCCCTCGGTGAGTCTTTCCTTGAGACTGGGGTAGGGGGTGATGGGAAGCAGGCATGGATGCAACACTGAAATCCCAGAGGGACTCGGGGCTGCAGCCTGGGTGGTGGCAGGAGGTGACCTGGGGTTGTTTGTCAGCAGGACCTTGCCTCTTCTTCCCTCTTCCTAGCGAGAAACTGCATGCGACTGCAGGTCCTGGAGCTGGACCACGTGTCGGAGATCACCCAAGAGGTGGCGGCCGAGGTCTGCCGGGAAGGCCTGAAGGGACTGGAGATGTTGGTGCTCACGGCCACCCCTGTCACCCCCAAGGCCCTGCTGCATTTCAACAGTGAGCGATGGGTAACGTGGGGTGGGGTCCCAGTGTTGCCTCTTACCATGTCTTGTCAGCAAGTAGCATAACCGACTCCCTCTCGCTCCTAGTCGGCAAACACCAGCACTGGGGTCAGATTGACCAGGGTTCTAGTCCTGGCTTTGCCACCAGTGCCTTCTGAGGCCAGTGTGGCATTTAAGACCTGCCAGCATCTGACCCAAATGGTTCCATTCAGTGGATTTGTATTGTCCTGTGCTCTGTGCACGTTGGAGGCATGAGCTGTTCAGCACCATCTACCATCTACCCCCACATGAGCCTCCAGCCAAGGGCAAAGGCAGAACAGATGGGTTCTGGAACTGGCTGACCTAGGTCTCACTTCTGGCTCTACTGATTATTAGCTGTGTGACTTTGGGCAAATTACTGTACTTCTCTTGGGTTCTGTATCTGCATCTTTTTTTTTTTTTTTTTTTGTGGTACGCGGGCCTCTCACTGTTGTGGCCTTTCTCGTTGCGGAGCACAGGCTCCGGACGCGCAGGCTCTGCGGCCATGGCTCATGGGCCCAGCCGCTCCGTGGCATGTGGGATCCTCCCGGACCAGGGCACGAACCCGCGTCCCCTGCGTTGGCAGGCGGACTCTCAACCACTGCGTCACCAGGGAAGCCCTGTATCCCTATCTTTTAAGCTGACTTCTAAACCGAATGAGTGGGAGGATTAATGAGATAATGTGTGTGAGCCCCCTAGAACAGTTCTCAGGGGACTCACACACACACCTCTGCTGGCCCCTGCCTCCCTCCAGCCCCCACTCCCCTCCCAGTCATTCCTCCACCTTCATTAAGGACACAGGTACCCAGCTGGGGCTACACACGCCCAAGGGTAGACCATCATCAGGGACCATTTGGCCCCTGGCAGGACCTCACGTCCTGAGCACTGAAGGTTCCTCGACCTTCTTATCATCTCCAGGATCCTCTTCTTCCCCCAATTCAGCCTCAGGGCCCCGCCCTGGACTGACCACCAGAACTAACTGCTTGGCCTCCAAAATCATAACCTTTAGAATCCTCTCAGCCTCCTGACCTTCTTGCTTCTCCTCCCCTGACTTCATGGCAACGTCCAGTCCCTTAAGCCCTCTGCTCCCCGCTTATTTGTTCCCTGCCTCCCCCCTTCCAGTGCTCCAGCTGAGATCCGTCAGCCTAACCTCAGCCACTCCGTCCTTGTAATTCATTTCCACATGCCCAGACCAGAGCACAGCGATCTCCTCTGCCAGGGAAGTTGCTAGAGCCCCTGCACAACTGGCTGTTGTCCACTCGTCCTCCCAGAGTCCACCACAGCCTCTGCTCTTTGACCTCACCCTCCACCTTCTCCCCTTGCCCAGTTGAGTCCGGGGCAGCATGGATCTGCTCCCAGTGCCTGGCACACGATTGTCTCTCAGAGGGTTCTGATTCTGTTAATTAGTAAAAGGAGAGAAGACAGCCCCATTGCCCAGATCAGGCATGGGCCCCCATCTTACCTTTTCCCAGGCATCTGCCGGAACCTCAAGTCCATTGTGGTCCAGATTGGGATTGCCGATTATTTCAAAGAGCCCAGCAGCCCTGAGGCCCAGAAGCTGTTTGAGGACATGGTGACAAAACTCCAGGTGAGCAGCTGTCTCTGAGGCTGCCCAAGACCCCCAGTGGCATCCCTAGGTTGGGGTTGGTGACCTGGGTGTTTGAAGGGAGGGCTCCACCTGTCTGCCCTGAGGGGAACTAACGCAGGTTTGGTCTACAGGCCCTACGGCGGAGGCCCGGCTTCTCTAAGATCCTGCACATCAAGGTGGAAGGCGGCTGCTAACCCGGGTGGGGGGCGGCAGGGCCCCTGCCAGCCCCACACCAGGGCACTCTCTTTGGACCTCCAGAGGGACCCTGATTTGTACTAGACCTTTGGAGGCCTAGTGTTATCCCTGGCTTCCGGGGAGGGGTTGTCAGTCTCCTGTCCTGCTGGGACAGTGGAGCAAGAGGCCTGACCCTGAGCACTGCCTCTCCAGGGCAGGGGCTTGGACAGCTGTCCCCCGACTCCCACCCCAACCCCAGCTGAAGCAGCTTTCTGGGCCCAGTCAGCGAAGAGCTGAGTCCCACCAGCACTTGGTGTCATCGCCCTGAAGATCTGCAATAACCACCAGTGGCGCTTCGGCCGCTCGGGCTGCTGGGGCAGGCCTCCCCTTTGTGAGGCCCAGCCTCCTGGTCGGGAGCCTCTGTTAAGCTCCAGGCCAGAGGGTTGCTCCACAAGGCAGCTCGGACTTGGCAAGGAGGGCTCTTCTCTTTCCCCTGCCGTGTCCCAGCCTTCTGTGGGGCACCCCCTCCAGGCAGCCCGCTGGGGCTCTGGGTCCGTATTTTCCAGGGATAACCCTAGGGGTCTGGGGATGCGGCCAGCCGAAAGTGAGAGGTAGGGGTGCAGAGAGGTAGTGGGGTGGGCGTGGAAGGGCAAGACATTCGTCCAGAACTTCTCCCCAGGACATCGAGACCACCCCTACCAAGGGAGAGAAAACTTCGAGTTTTTATTGCTGTAGAAAAGACAAGATTCCCTCCCAGCCACCACATACCCACGACACACCAGAACTAAATTCAGAGCTAAAAGGTGCATGTTTCTATAACTTCCACCAATCCCGAGTCTCTGGGAAACGGTGTCAGCAGTTCCTGTCCTCAAGGAATGTACTTCTAATCCGGGTGCTTGGGCAGGAATCTGATGGTCTTTGGGTCCCCAAGGCTGTGTGAGAGGGAATCACTAGGCTGCCCTCTGTGCTAGGGCCTGGAGGAGTCCAGAAGGAGGGTGGTTTAGTTTGCTTCCTCGTCTGGCTAGCTTGCTTAAAGATGTGGCTTTGGTAGGGAGCCAGACCCATGGGGCCAAGAACGAGGAAGAGCCCCCGCCTCACTGGACTTGCCTCCCTCCTCAATCTCCACTGGCCTCACAGGCTGAGGGCTGTGTTGGGGGTCTTCTGCCAGGGGCAGTGCTGGGACCTGAGCCAGAACCACTGACTTAAAATGCAAATGGGGGCTTTCACTGACCCTTGCACGGTTCCCAGAGGGCTAGGTCCTGGCACTATGGCTCTAAAGACTCAGGTCTCCCCAGTTCCGCCTCTCAGGACTCCCACAGTGGCGCAAAAGCCGTGGGTCCTGCCAACCTTCATTTGGAAAGTTCTTTCAAACATTGATCTAGGTCCATCTTAGGGTTTCCTTCTCTCCTGTTACAGGGTGGGCTCTCAGCCCTAATCATTAGGCCACTGGTCCTGGCTGGGGCTGGGCTCCTCTAGTTTCTCAGTCCTTTCCAGAAACCCAACTTTCTGGGTTGCCCTGCAACGAGGCCTCCAGAGCTGGGACCCCACAGGATCAGAAGTGTACCCAGCTCTCCTGGCTCCCCACTCAGCTGTGTCCTGGCTGTTTTCATTGTTGATGATTTTCCTCCCGTGGCTTGTTCGGGCCCTGCCCTTTGAAGACGCCAAATACCAAGGGTGGCATGTTGGCAACTCCTTGTCCAGTCCTGCACGAAGCCTTGTCTGTGTGGCATCCCCACCCCAGAGCAGCTAGTTCCATTGGCTCTTACCTCCCCAGCCCTGTCCCCAGGAGTCACGAAGGAGAAGCACAACTTTCCTCTGTTCTGGGGCCTGGAACGGAGGTGGAGGTCCACTCGGCCTGGTTGCCCTGGCTGTGTCTGTTCTGCTTTGCCAGCTTCATCCTCCCTCCATAGCCCCTGCCCCCTGTGACCCCAGGATGTCTCCCGGACAAAGCACAAAGGGATGCCCTGCTTGGCCTGAGCCTGTCCTACTGAGGGGCTTTTTCTGCCCTAGGTAGCCTCCATCCCTGAATACAAGGCTTTGGGCAATTTCTCCCTGGGAAGATGCCTGCTGGAATGCCTGGCATCAGTTCTGGGAAAGGTCAGGGTGCACAGGCAGCAGGCTTGAGTGGGAGAAAGGTGGTGCTGAGAGGCCTGACGGTTGCCGTAGGTTCCTTCTGTGCAGTAGCGCTGAGCACCACCGGCACTGGGGCAGCAGAGTGAACAAGACTTCCTTCTCCTGCTGGTGGGAAGTTTGCCTCTCAACAAGCATGGCTGTTTCCAGGAAACCCACCAAGCCCCCCGCCCTGTATTTTCTAGCTGAGTGTGTGAGGGCTGTGTGGGGAGCATATTGCACAGGTCCATGGGAACGAGGGGTCACAGCCTGTACCGCTGCACACCTGGGGCTGACAGACTCGCGTGCCCTGGCCTTCATATGTGCCCTGAGAACTGGCGGGTTTGCGGGCTCCCCACCAGCTTGACGCTATTTTTGCCTCTCCTCAGGGGGATGAGTCCTGCTGCTGAGTGGAGAGCTTTTGTTCACTTGGTCACTTCTCTGGCCAGCACACAGCTAGGGCTGAGAGTGGCGAACAGGGATGGGGAGGGCCTGGCCGTCCCTAGGAGCACCTTATCCTTCACTCACCCACAGGAGAGCCCTCTTCCACATCTCACACCTTGATGAGGTGCAAAAGAGGAGTATCTGTGAGAGCAAACCAACACAGGCCCTGCTCCAGGGGTCCCAGCATGTGTAGAGGCCCCATGGGTGATGGCCACTTGGTGTCCTTACCACCTCTCCTTGCCAGCCCAGCGCCTGGGAGGCTTGGGGTATTTGGCTTGAGTGTATCATGCTTTATTCAGGCTGCCTCCGCACAGCACTGGCAGAGAACAAAGGAGATGCTGTATCTGCATCCCCGAGGGAGAGAAAGTGGGCTCCCCAGAACCATGGCTTTTCACTGGCCAGGAGACCACCTAAGGACCAAGGCAGCTCATGTTTTCCTAGTCCCATGAGAGTGGAGTTTGAGCCAGTCCCTCAGCAATTGCTGGAAAAAAAAAAAAAAAAAAAAGCGCCACCTCCTTCCCAAGGCCTGCTGCTCCAAGGTTTGACTCTGTCCTTTGCCTTTGGGTCCCGCCTGTCCCCCTGGTCCTGGTCTCTAGTCCTCTGGGCTGCCGGTGGGGAGCTGCCCATGCCCCAGTCCCTCTTGGGCGCTAAGTTGAAGATCTTTCCAGAGGGACTATTGGTGCCAAAGACCCAGTTCCTGGTGGACTTGGGGTGAAAACAGGAGAGATGGTGATTGGGTGCAGGGCCCAAGTGCCCAGAGGAATTAACTCATACCAGTGGCATCTGTCCCAGCCCATCAGTCCCTGATGAGTGTAACTTGCCTCCCCCAGGGGCCTGGCACTTCTCTTTTTACCCCTGGTGGCTGTGCTTTCTCACCCAGCCTTGTCCCAGGCCCCATTTCTGTATATATTGCTGTGTATTGTGTGTGTATTTATTCCCGGACAAGTGTGTGCATCTACAGCCTTGCCTGAGGATAAGGTTTAGGATTGGGTGAAGATCAGAATACCAGGGCCAACTAAGGCAACCAGCTCCTAGTCTGACCCCAACCCCTTGGGACCCTGGCCAGTCCCAAGACTGCCCCGACAATCAGGCAGGCTTCCCCGCCACAAGTCCGAGCCTTGTCTGCGACTGCTGGCAGGGCCCCAGGCCTCAGCTTTGCCCTGGCAGGGGTCTTGCATGCAGGGGCAGACTCGCCTCATGGCTAGTGCCAGTAGGCCTGGCTCTAGTGAGCCCTGCTGGCGGGGACCTCCACAACTGGCCCCAGGCCCTGCCTTCCCTGCACAGCCAGGCTGCAGTGGGCCTGAGCTGTGAGAAGGGAGCTTCCCTCACCCCAAGCACATCAGGCAGAGGGGTGGAGAGCATTTTTTGGTTTTGTTCCCGAAGTGGCGCCAGTACCTCCAGCCCCCAGGGGGCCTTCCCTGGCCCCACTTTTCTGCCCCACCCAGGCATCACCATCCCAGCACTTTGCTCCACATCACCCATAGATGCCCTTTGCTGAATGTACCCGAGCGTATGTATTTAAAAGGACTCAAATGGGCATCAGAATTTGTGGCTCTGTATCCAATAAAAGATGGTGAAACTGGAATCATATCTGCCTCAGGGAAGTAAATGGTAGGTGGCCACATTTCCCAGTCTGTCACCAAACATTCCTTCAGCTGAAATGCACTGAGGGAGGAAGGAGGTGGATGATCTGAACGGCATCAGTGAGGTGAACTGAAGCATTAGGAAGACCTGTATCAGGACAGTAGACATCATTGCTGGAGGAAGGCCATGCAGGTTACTGACCGTGCCATAGCTTTCAGTTGTGTGCAGGCAGATAAAGAGCCTCAGGGTGTCCCTTCTGGCTCTCAGCCAGGAGAAGCCATCTTTAAGGGCAACCCCAGCACAAATATAGCAGGAACAGCACACGCTTGCCCATCCCCTCACTGGCTTGGTAACCTTAGGATGCTCTGGCCGCCAATCCGACTTTGGCCTGATGGAGACCAGTTCCCCATCATGGTCTGGCTCAACTTTCCCATTTTACAAAATGGGGCTGCCCCACTGATTTAATTACTCAGGTCTTGAAACATTTAAAATCAGAAAAAAGAACAGGTGTTTAGGCTTAAACTGTGAGTGGCTCTAGCATCAAACAAGTAGACAACTTATCCCCACAACTCTGAGTCAGCTATTACCGTTATACAGGTAGAACGGCTGAAAAAAATTTACTTACAGACCATCAGGTTAGGAGGGATGCCAAACCCTGAAGTCTGGACCTGCCACCACCCCCATTCTGCTTTTGAGTTCATGTGACTTGGCTGGAACTCAAGAGATTTTTAAAAAAATCACTTCCCAGATTTAGGGAGCAGAAGCTTCCTATTAATTACAGGTAGCTGCAGGCCAACTCTCAGAACTAGCAATAAACAAGGAGGCAGTTAGACTGCTGATTTTATCTGTGCTGGCTGTTCTAAACTTCCTCTGGTCAGAAGAAAGCAGAAAGGACCACTGGTGGCTGAACTGAGAAGACCGGGTGGCTCCTTCAGCCTCCTCCTCAATGGACTTCTTCTAAGAAGTCACAAGAGTTTAGAAAGGATCTGTCCTCTCTGAAACATTCCTCCGAAAGCCCTCAACCTCAAGATCTTGAAAACGAGGGATGAAAAGACTGAGCCACAAGAATACGGAAGTAGAAGGGGGTAGACAAGGTAATGTAATGCATTTAACTCAAACCCAGAGAAACCCTGGCAGCAGAGCCAGGCGAGGCCAGTGCTAAATAAGGTGATGTCAGAAGGAAAGGAAGCAACTCCACACCTCCTAGCCACTGCTAGGACTGAGAAAACCACCAAAGCTAAACTTCCAGACAGGGGCTACTCAGGTGGAGCTCCTCCCCTGGCAGAGTGGACCTACACTCTGCCTAACAATGACTAGAGGCTGTGAAGGACTCAGCCCAAGAGGGAAGATGATTTTCTCTTTTCTACCTGTTGGGTGAGTACACATAAAGCTACAATTCTGAGCTGCAGTCAAGACATGTATGAGTACAACCCCTGTGCCCAAATAATTTGCAAAATGAATTCTAAGTCTTTTAAGTTTTATTTAATAACCTCCAGTGAGAACAGAGTGGGCCAAATACTACCCCTTCCTTGTAATACCATTTCACCAAGACAGAGTGAGCGGAGCCTGCAGGCAGCCTGCAGTGAGAGCTGGGGTGCCACTCAATGGGGGTGGCCACGACCTCGGCCCCGGCCAGCAGCTGGGGGAACATCCACTGTTGAGCGAGGGTTCTTGATGGTTTCATCTACGGACACGATAAGGCACGCAGCCTCAGAGGCTGCAGTCAGGGCATTGATCCGCACCATAGCTGGCTCCCACACGAAGGCCTCAAAGTTGTCAGCAATGTCCTCGTTGTTGATGTCCACGCCATACCACATGCCCCCCTGAAAGAGCAGAAAAAGAGGGAAAGTGATATGGAACTGCTCTCAAATTTCTTCTTGCACACCCTCTGAACGACTCGGATTGTTAGGAATCGTCAGGTTCTCTGAACCCGCTGGCATCTCCCTGAGGAAGGTGGCATTACAACAGGAGCCTGGAAGCCTCTTCCCACCCCTCCCCCACCCCCAACCTGAGAAGTGCTGACCACAGAAGACCTCCGGGCCCTCTCCCAGGCAAGCTGCTGGCTTTTAGGGAGGCCCCATCCTCAGGTCACCTGAGGACTGTGTGTGTCAAACCAGGCTTTTCAAGAGGAACACTTTCCAATCCCTTATCTCATTTCATCATCTCACTGCTTCCATTAGTCCCGATTTTACAGACAAGGAAACAGACGCAGAGCGTGACTTACTTAAAGTTCTAACACAAGTCAGAAACTAAGTCACTCACCTAATGCTGCTGTCACCGCACTGAGCATTTAACAGACAGCATTTAAGAAGCATCTCTAAATGAGTATTTGCTGAACAGCAGATGAACAAATTAAATTCTCAGAGAGATCACAACTTGGAGGTGGTAGAGCCCTGGCTGGACTGCTGTCAGCAGGGCCCTGGAGTGCTTCACCACCAAGGAACCCAGTACACATGGTATGTGCTTCCAGGCAGAAGGCCACAGGGTTCCTTTGGTTCCTCTCACTGCACCGTGAGGAGCGATCAGACTCTTGGAAGAAGCACTGAACAAACCCTGGAACCACCAGTTCCAGCACTGGTCTTTCCTTCTGACCTCAGAGGAGGCAGGCAGTTGGTACTGGGTTTGGTTCCAGCACTATCACCTGGGCTGACCACACAGAGCTTGAGTAAGCACAACACACACTCAGAATCTAGCCCCGTCCACCCAGTCCCTGGACCCGGAGGAGAGGAATAGCCCACCTGGGCGTGCCGAGCCCGCAGCTTGTTGAGGATGTTTGTGGCATCAAAGCCAGCGTTGTCGCACAGCTGGCGTGGGATAATTTCCAGTGCCTTGGCGTAGGCCCCAATCAACAGCTGCTGCTTGCCGGGAATGGTCCGTGAGAAATCTCGCAGGTACCTGGAGAGCTCCATCTCAATGGCGCCGCCACCAGCCACCACCGAGTCGTTCTGCAGAGGCCAGACCCACCACTAAATGCAAGGGGTCCCCAGGTCTGAGCTCCAGCCCTGGCCAAATTAGGCCGTTCAGTCAACAGGCCCCCTAGCCCAGGAAGAGGGCTGGTTCCACATTCCCTCCCTCAGCCCAAGCCCCAGAAAGCCCAGACATGGACCTTGTCTAGCACATCCCAACTTCAATCTGGTGAACCTTATGGTTTCTGACCATCTCCAAGGTCACCTGTAGCTTGAGGGCACTGGCACAACCCCTGGGATGGCTGACTCTATCAGCTCCACAGCTGCTCACAAGAACAAGTCTTAGCTTTTAAGGCAGCATGACTTATTCTGAGAGACTGAGGCTGTTTCTTTATCATCTGTGAGACGAATCAGGGCCCACATGCCCCACATGGAAGGACACAAGTTATACAGGGAAGGAATCACCACACAAATCCAGGGTCTCATCGGCTCAAGAGGCAGAGTGAGCTGTGCAGGCTGGAAGCTCCCAGCCTAGTACCTTGATGGCCCTTCTGACAATCATGATGGCGTCGTGTAGGGACCGCTCTGTCTCCTCCATAAACTGCTCAGCGCCACCACGGAGGATGATAGTACAAGTCTTGGCCTTGGGGCAGCCTTTGAAGAAATTGTACCTACGCCCAGGGTCAAATCATACTTGTGAGCTCGTTCTGCTGCCCACCTGCTGTGTTCTAACCTTGCCAAGCCCCCCGCTCAGCAGCCGCTCTTCTGCTCCTCACTAAGGGTCTCCAAGCCACTCTGAGAGACGTGTTCTTGGGAAGGTCTAGGGCTGCACCACAGGGGCATAGAAGATGTGGAATCAGACCTCAGACCCAACTTGATCTTCTTCCCTCCCCAAACACTCTATATATCTGAGCTCTTTATGCCCCATGAGATATAAGACCTCAGAAGAGAATAGCATGTGCTATATATACACCACACCCCAAAGATGGCAGAAGGCCATCAGGCAGGTCTCGTGAGCTAAGCGAACAGGGATCCCAGGCCTACTGCTCACCTCTCGCCTCCAATCTGGGTCTCTTCAAAGACCTGGCAGCGGCCCAGAACATCTGATGACAGAGCGTTCACACTGGTCTGGATGGAGCCTCCGCAAGCCTGAGGAACACAAGACAACATCATCTAGCAGTGAAGGCTCACACGAGGCCAGAAGTGAGCTTCCTGCCACTTAGTCTTAAAGCCAATTCCCATGTTAGACTGCCATGGTGCCCCGGAGCTCTCCTCACTGTATGACCCACTCTCACCCTTGACCTCCAGGCTCCCTCTGGAAGAGGAGAAAACAAAACAGAGCTAAGACACACGAAGGGCAAACAAGCCTGGTTAAAAGGAGATGGTGACCCTTTGTTTCACCCAATACCCCCTCCCCTAAACTAGGGTGCTTTGGGCCCAGCGACTGAAGTCAGGATCAGTGCTTTAGACCTGAAGCATCTTTGGTGAGATGCTCAAGAAGAAAGGGAGGAAACCTGGCCGGAAGCATCCAGCCTGGAGTTTAGCCAGCTAATCATAGGCCTACTGCTAGGTTTCCTTACAAATCAGCTTCCCTGACTTGTTTGGTTAGATTAACTCTTGTATACCGAGCATATACACACTGGAACTGGAGTGTTTCATGGCAAAAAGAGTTAAGAAGACAGGTCTAGATTCACATACCAATCACTCCAGTACACCAGGGGTAAGTGAAAACCCCCCTGGGGCCACAAAGACCAAGAAGCAGCCTGTGAAAGTTTGGTTACCATCATTGTCCTCTTCAGGTCCTCCTCCGGCACTCGGCCAGCACAGAACATGTCCCTGTCAGCAAAGTACTGGGTGGCCACGTCCCCAATGGGGAGTTTGGACAAGACGACTTTGGCTCCGGAGTGATGGATCCTCTCTAACTTGTCATAAAGAATGTTCCATTCAGCATCAACAATTGCCTGATAATCCTGAAGAGACCCAGAAAAGGATGAGGATGCTTTGGAGTGGAGGTTAGCCTATATGGTATGTTAAAATATAACACGCCCCTGCCAAATAAAATATACTGACTTATTTGGGAATTAACAGGGATAAACAGAATAGCCTCCTCTCAGTCCAAATATACAAGGACCCTATAAGGTAACTTAAGAGTCACCTAAAACTTTCAAACACAAAGGCAGAAAGTAACCCCAGGACTGGGAGCTACTCCAGAGCTAGCACTTGCTACGGTGCGAGACCTACTTTAGCCCAGCTAAGTTCCAGCTCCTCTGAGGCACTGCACCCATGGAGTTACCAATGACAAGACCCTTTCCCCCAAAGGCCATTCTGTGTTGGGGATACATTTTCCAAGAATACTTGCTTACAGCTGGGTGACACTGCTACCTCCAGAGACAGCCTTGGTGATATCAATTTTGGGAGCACACCTGTCCCTGCAACACGGGACCCAGTATAGAAAGGGCAGAGTTCACATCTGCCCATATAAGAGGAATCAAAATACTGGGCTCACTATATAGCTGAGAGGCCCCTGCAAGCCCCTTCCCTGGGGCCAGAGGATAATATTTCAGCATGTTTGCCCTATCCAAACCTCCTCAGGTCCAGGTCACTGAGAGAGAGCATAGAGTGAGAAAAGAAGTGGACCCAGTATTTAGACATTAATATTTAGGGGGATAGGAGGAGAAAGGAGCCCATAAGGTACCTGAGAAACAAAGCTAAGCCCAAGATGGCCACAAAGGCCCAAGGCTATGGCCCAGAATGTTGCCCATTTCCATGCCACTGCCAGCTGGTAGGGCCTACCTCAACTGTGTGGACTCTGATTTCCGCATTATCCTTCTCAGCTTTCAGCTCGAGCTCAACATTTAAAAGGGCAATCATTGGATTATGGTACTTTTTGGGTTGCATTTCAAACCCAGCATAAGAGAAAGTCTTCTTGAATGCAACACCAGCTACAAGCTGGGACTCCTGTTTAAAAAAACAAACAGTTCAACAGTTCAGTACTGGCATGAAATGAAATCAAGTTAGTGGTGTGCTGGACTAATAATGCATGTCCATTTCTGTGAACCTGAAAGAGTTAACCATGTTTTTATTTCACTGTTGTAACAGTTTTTCCATCATCCTAAAAGCTAGGAAAAATACAGAGCATATTTTGGTTGTGCCTTCAGTATAAGGAAAACCAGTTTGCTTGCAGAGACTAAGCATGGTAAAGGCCTGTTTGGGCTGTTCTCTAAGACTGACTTCCAAAGCAGGTGCCAAGGGATGCACTTTGATCCCAACTCCCCACCTCCCAGTCTTCTACACATACGTACACATACCCCTCCCTACCTGTACTGCTCACGAGCACACACATACCTGTGGGCTGTAGCCTAGGTGCTTCCTCCTTCCAGGAGATGAAAACAAAAGGTCCTAAGGGTCAGAAATTTCCTGCAGTTCCCAAGCTATCATTGTGGCTATTCCCATCTTGATCCCTCAAAATATGAACTACTACCACTTGTTCCATAACAGAGCTTGCTGTGGGGTGGATTTAATAGCAGGGCATAATAGAAAGCATGTTGCACCTGGGAGTGGCTTCAGCAGTATCAGAAGACAGGTTCAAATCTCAGATCTCTTTCTTACTAAAAAACCTAGTCATTTCCCACTCCGTAAAGAAGGGTGTATTCAGTATATGAAGTAAGTCAGAAAGAGAAAGACAAACACCATATGATATCACTTACATGTGGAATCTAAAATATGACACAAATGAACTCATCTATGAAACAGAAACACTCACAGACATGGAAAACAGACTTGTGGCTGCCAAGGGGGAGGATGGATTGGGAATTTGGGGTTAGCAGATGCAAACTATTATATATAGAATGGATAAACAACAAGGTCCTACTATATAGCACAGGAAACTATATCCAGTATCCTGTGGTAAACCATAACAGAAAAGAGTATGAAAAAGAATATATACATATATATGTATAACTGAATCACTTTATTGTACAGCAGAAATTAACACAACACTGTAAATCAACTATACGTCAAAAAAATAAAATTTTTTAAATAGTGTATTCAGTTCAACGACCTATATGTTCTCTGCTAGTGCTAATCTACAATCCTAGTCTATAATACTGTAGCCTATCAGTGAGACAGATTGCTACACCATTCAAATCCACAGCCTCCTAAAGGGGGTGATGTCTGAGCTGAATCAAGATGGATAAGCAGAAATTAGTCAAACAGAAAAAAGAAAGAGATGTTCCCAAAAGACAGAGGCAGTGTGGTGCAATCAGGGGATGAAAAGTTACCTGCAGTTGCTGGAATACAAAATAAAGAGGGCAGGGACCAGTTTAGGAGAATCTTAAAGGCTCTGCTAAGGCCTCTTATCCTGTACACAATGTGGAACCCCAAAATGCTTTACACACAGAGTGTAAACTGGGGAACTTCACGCTGCAACAAAAAATAGAATGGACTTAGGGGATGCAAGACTGGAGGAAGAGTGACCACTACCAGGACAATGGTCTAATAAAAGAGACAGACTTAGGAAACAACAAATTGGTAGGTAAAATGAAACAACAGTGATCAACAGGTTGGGGGGAATTGGAAATATTTTTGAGGATGACCCTAGACTTCTGGGTTGAGTGACTGAATAATGGTGGTGATAGCAGCTATGTCAAGGAATACAGAAAATATTACAGGTTTGGAGGATGCGATAATGGGTTCAGTAGCAGTGAGATCCAGGAGTGTGAAGCTCAAGAGAGAGGTAAAGGCTGAAGATATATATCAGGAAGTTTTCGGTTAATCCTGAGAACGAGTAAATAATTACTACCACCATTTACTGAATTGTGTGTCAAGTATTGTGTTAAGGGTTTTACATGCATTTAAGAGATGTGGGACAGTCTGAAGAACATATGTGTGGCTTGGAGCCCCTGGCTTTCTCACCAGATAAGATTATTAGTTCTGATCCCTAGTTTAGTGAATGCCAATCTAATCTCAAGGGTTTACGGAAGTAGGAAGGCCCAGGAGGAAATGGAATATTGCTATCAAAGCAGTGTGTAAAGACAAAGTCGGCAAGCCATGATGCAAAGAATGGGCGGAAACACGAGTGGTAGTGGGGGCTGAAGATGGGGAATGGCTCAGATGACCTCCAGATTCCTCACAGCTTTATTCTATAAAGAGAACCTCATCCCACTGACATGTGCCATGACAGGAGGAAGAGGGAGGTGGACAGAATGAAATGCAATTTGGAGGGGGTAGAAGTCCCTCCAAAGACTTCAAAGAACAAAAAGTAAAGGGCCAGGATATAATATTTCAAGCAGGTCTTGTCCTGTCCAAATCACCTCAGGCTGAGGTCACCAAGGAAGAGTCAAGTAAGAAGTAGAGCAGGCCAAAGACTAGAAAAGGTCCAACATGGAGACACCAACATCAAAGAAGGTTTCCAGACAGATACTTCTGTGTTAAAAAAGAACAAAGTTATAGTTATGCTGTGCAATATAGTGGCCACTAGCCAACATGTCTCTATTTAAATTTAAATAAGTGAAAAAATGTGTTGTTAAGTAGACAAAAGCAAGTTGCAGAACACTATGTATTACAAGTGAGCATTTGTTTAAGAAAACAATATTTACATTTGTACTTACAGATGCAGAGTACTTCTGGAAGAAGAGGGACACGGACACACGGACACGGACGGACACACACACACACACACACACACACACACACACAGAGTTAACTGGTGGCTGTATCTGGGGCAGGAGTGGTGTAGGGGACATTTGTTTTTTCCTTTAGGAATTCTAAACAGTTTGAATTATGTATTATCTATTCAAAATTAATGAATAAAAGAAGGGAGAGGTTGGCCATATCACTTGGAGAAGAATGGACTGAAATGTACTTCTCATATATTTATTGAGGGTTTTAGATAATTTATCAGAGCTAGCCCTATCCCCCTCCCACATTAACAATGAGATTCTTAAAATCAGCCAGTTCAATCTTCCACTCTGCTGACAAGTAAATATAGGTCTGCAGAGGTTACAAAATGCACCTACAGGAGAAGCCTGTAGCAGCAGTATGGGGAACAGCTCCAGTCTGCCTTCCAGCCCAACATGCATTCTCTCTGTTCCTGTACCGTGTGCTCTCCTACACCAAGCTGTCTGAATGGTCAATGTGAAAGCAAGAGCCTCCTAGGGAGGCCACAGCAGGCTCACCTCCAGGGCTCCACCCTGAACCTTCTTGATTCCAATCATTTTAAGCTGCAGCAAGTCATCGAGCATCATCACCGCATCCACCACCATCTTCGCGAAGAAGGCTTTCTGCTGGGAGATCAGCTTGGAGCTCAGAGCAGTCACGGCACATTTCTCTAGCAGCTTCCTCTGCTCCCTGGGACACAAGGGTGGGACCTGCATCAGGCCTTGAAAGCCCCTCTTACCTGACTCTACTGCAATGTGGAGATAGTTTCTGTTCTAGTCTCTAAACTCAGCCCTCAACAATTTCATCTTCTGTATCTTTAGGGCAGATTATCAGTGACAGCCGGTGACTGCAGTCAAAGACCGTAGTGATAGCTTTTAAACTACAACCTACAGCCTCTTTTGTAAGGCATGGGCTGGGGCACAGCCAGAGGTCTAGCAAGAGCCAAACAGCCCCAGGCTATGCAGGGATTCCACTTCCTTCTGCATTCAATTTGGCCACGGGAAGTCAACGTTCTGACAAAGTTCACTGCAAACTTACACTTTATCTTCCTTCTTCACAGTGACGGCAATCTCTTTGATCTTGTTAACCGCCTGCCAAGAACACAAGCTGGGTGAGTCTCTCATGCTCAAGACAAACTGGAGAAGTGCGTCCCAATCGCTCCTGCTAGTCCCTAATCTGTCCGCTCCCAAATCTCAAGCATTTCTACTCCACAGCTGAAACAACATTTCTAAGTCTTGTAGCTGCCCAGAAAAATATAAATCTCTATAGTTTAGAAAATGCCCAAAGTTAGAAATGTAGAGTAGGTATAGTTCTGAAGAATCATCAGGGTACATCAGGATTCAGCTCTGGATCTGCAGGTAACACACTAAAACAAATGAATGGAAACACACTACGACACTAAATTAGGCCAAATTTTCTGGCTTACAAACAGCACCTGTGACAACTTTTAGCACTTTATATATTAATTAGGTATGTTATATACGATACACATATTTGTATGTTAAACATGGTATCTTTTCAAAGCCATCTTTTTCAAAAGATATCCGTTCATACTTACTTCTCATGTATGATTTCGTTTTAATGCCACCACCCCAAAACAGAGATAGTAAAGAGACAAAGTAAGGCATAGGGGAACTGACTTACCCAGGTTACAGAATGAAAGTCAAAGGTCAATAAAAGCAAGGTCTCAAGATGTGCCATGAAGTATTTGATAAAAACAAAAACAGCTCTCACCAAGAGCTTATTATCATAGTCTATCAGGAAACCTGAGGCTTAAAGAGATTAATTAATATACGTAGTCAAAAGCTACTGAAAGGTAGAACTGAGATTCCTAGGCAGTAGAATTCAGAAAATGTCCAAGGAACCTTGTTCCCAGTCCCTCCACACCCCAATAAAGATAGTATCCTAAGAGAAGTACAAAGGCGCACAAAGCGCCCAAGTTCACCAGCACTCCCATACCAACTGAGTGGCAGTGCGGAAAGCTCGGATGATGATCTGTGGGTGCAAACCTTCCTCCACATAGGGTTTCACCTGCTTCAGAAACTCTGCAGCCAGCAGGGTCACTGAGGTGGTGCCATCACCGACCTGGAAGAGGATGACAGTAAATTCACGTTTCCTCATGTTCAGGGATAAAGCGCCAAAACTCCACTTTTTAAGCAATCTACCCATTTAAACTGGGGACTGTTTAAATGGATATTAAGCCTTTTCTGGGAAGCACAGCTTTTTGCAACAAGTAGAAGAAAGGTGTTGGTTGATAGGTATTCATCCCATCAAATGGTCCTGGGCCACAAAATTAATTCCCCAGCCAGGCCATTCTCCAAAGGGAGCTGATTTGGACAAATTTCCCCAGAATATGAAATCATATATGTATATTAGCCAAGAACTTATTTATTACGGACAAGATACTATGATGAGTAAGACAGTTCCAGAGATGCTTATAATACAATGCTCACATGTCACAAATAACCATAGTAGCAAGAAGTATGAGATAAATATTCTTTAAGGAGCACAAAATACTACAGGAGTTTACAAAACAAACCTCTAAGGACCAGCTAAGGTCCTTTTTACTTTAAACACTATTTGGAATTAGCAGATCACTAGTCTGCTAGTCTTTCTTACATAGCTATTTTCTACGATAGGATCTAAACCTCATTTTTAATGAAGGAGGAAAAGAATAAGAGCTTTCTCTCTCTCTCTCTCTTTTAAGAATAAGAGCTTTTAAAAAAACTAGCTAACCTCTGATTTAGAAGATACTTATTTTTTATTCACTTATGTCCATTGTATAATACAAGGGACTTCAGGGAGAAAAAATGGTTACTGTGGCGAAGGGTTTAAGCTGCCAAATTCCTGAACAGAAAGGTATTCCTTTGTTGAAAATATTAACCAATCAAATCTATACTCTTCTCACTTTAATTTTATATAACCCATACTGTTTTACAGGCTACTGGGTCCTAACAGACCTTTTGATATAACTTCAGGACATATCTGTAATACTCTGAAATGCAAACTTGTCTCTCTCAACATTTATTATCAAGACTCCAGTGTCAGAAATGGTTTTTTAAAAGGCAGATGAGTTAATGTCACTGATTTGCACACATTAAGATGGTAAGTTCTAGGCTACGTATATTTTACCACCATAAAAATATTTTCTTTTAAAAAGAAATGTAAACTGGAAACAGTCTCCAGCCCCATCTTATAAGGCAACCAACAGATTAGAGGTTAAATTATTTACCGAGCAATTCAAATGAATGACAGCACACAGGCCTGATCTTAAGATCTCAGCCACACACAGTGGATCAGCAGGAATTTTAAAAGACTATTAATTCCACCTAAGTATTTTCGCAAGCAATTACTTGTGAAATTATAATTTTAGACATAAAATCAAAATTTTTAAAGAAAGGAGAGCAAAGGAGCAAGCAGGCATGTGTTTCACTGAAACACATAGGCTTGATTTTCCTACCTCAGCATCTTGGGATTTGGCAATGTCCACTAAAGTCTTTGCTGCAGGATGGACAACATCAAGGAGTTTCAGAATTGTGGCCCCATCATTAGAAATTGTTGCTTTGCCTTAAAAGGAACAAACACAAAGTAAAAATGTAAAGACCTTTTCTTAAATTCTGTCTTCTAGTTGGACTTGGAGCCCATATACACATTATTGGGATGGGACAGAGGGGCTCATGGTGGGAATGAACTGATCTTTTTAGAGTTAGCTCTGTGCAAAAAGGGCCACCTAAAATCACACATTCCAAAGACCATGAACTCCTGATTTTCCTTGAAGAGCAAAGAGCACACCTCTACTGGATGTAGAAAACATTTTAAAAAATAAGAATAATCATTTAGATATTCTTAACAGTTGATACCCTAGTATTTCACTTGTAAATTAATACACTAAAACATAAGGGGGAATTTGTCTTGGCAACATGATCCAATGGGAGTGACCACAGGCAACTCCGGAAGATTCCATAGTGTTTCTAGGCTAAATCTCTCTACAAGGCAACAGGCTCCTGAGCCAGGCTTCTCCCATATATTCCCAGGGGGCTCACGATTCAGGACAATGTCTGAAAAGAAACTGCTTCACAGTGAGCAATCCTTCAGAGATCTTAAAAGCAGTGAGATTTCTGGGCTTTCCTGGTGGCGCAGTGGTTGGGAGTCCGCCTGCCGATGCAGGGGACACGGATTCGTGCCCCAGTCCGGGAAGATCCCACATGCCGTGGAGCAGCTGGGCCCATGGGCCACGGCCGCGGAGCCTGTGCTCCGCAATGCGAGAGGCCACAGCAGTGAGAGGCCCGCATACCACAAAAAAAAAAAAAAAAAAAAAAAAAAAGGCAGTGAGATTTCTAATGCCAACCTCTGCTAGCCCCAAACACTCTGGGGGAGCCTCCTCTTCTGCAACTGGCCTGAGGAACTCTGCAGACTTACCTCGGCCATCCACAATGAGCTTGTCCATACCACGGGGGCCCAGGGTAGTTCTTACAGCCTCAGCAATCACCTGGCAGGCACTGATGTTACTTACAAGCTGGGGGATGCCTTGGGAGCTATCAGTCCCCTCTTTCAACAGGATAACTGGTGTGGGCTAGAGAAGAAAGAGCAATTGAATGGTTTTTTAAAAAAATAATCATTCATTACATAAGACTTATGGAGGGAGAGGAAAAATGCTCTCATCTCCCCAATAACAGAAATATATCTAGAGGCCCTTTTAAACCACATTCCTCCACTGTCCATGCACTATATCAATTCCTTAAACTGCCTCTACCTCCAGAGATAGCATACTTGCAGGTGTGCCAGAAAATGGTTTGAGAAGCACTGATTTAGTAAAAAGAACAAATCAAATAATGTGTTCTCCAGTGCCCAACTGCATAAGCATAGCCCTTTCAACTTCTGACCTTATTCCCTGTTTTAAGGAATTAGGTCACGTCACAGGAGGAAGCAGGCCACGCTCAGTGTTCACCCTCCAGCAAGCATTCATTTATCTGCATTACAGCTTAATCGTAGAGAAGTAGATGGGGCACTGATGCAAAACATGAGGTGCTAACAGCTTCAGATGTTGTCCTGGAGATGCCCAGGCAGACAGCTTTACCAACGATGTTTAGCTGGAGTGTAGGGAAATGGCTAGGCAGAGAAACAAATGGCACCTTTGTCCGCCTCACAAAATGACAACAAATCTAATTTGTACAGCAATGTTTCCCTCTCTCATGCTGGGTCCATAAAGCCTCCTTGTGACTAATCTCCAACCAGATACCCTAAACAAGTTTTTCTCTATTTTGCATTGGTCTCCAGAACAGTCACTGTTCTCGTAGAGGCTTTATCTGTGCAACTGCTTTAGAAGCTCTGGGAATACCTGCTTATTTTAAAGCGGCTGCTTAGGTACCTTTGCTCCAGTGACCATTAGCAGACAGTAATTCCTTAGCTTAGCACACAAGACTGCTTTCTCTCTGCATCCAAGCCTGTGCCTTCAGAGATGAGCTCATGATCCAGGCCCAGTCTTCCCTGCTTTTGTGACTGATTTTATGTGTATAAAACAAATTAAGGATAAATACTGTTGCAACATTTTTGTTATGTTAGTTATGCGTGTGCTATTACGCTATGCTTTGAAATTTATTTTTTCCTGTGGGTTACAATATAAAGTTTGAAAATCACTGCCCATGTCCACCCCTAGGGGGTACTTCAGGTGTCTGAGCAGGGAAGGCATAGGAAAGCACAGGGCTGTTTCAGCCCAACAAAAAGGAGCCAGGAATTCACACACTACAAAGTCGAGCAACCCATGAGGCTGACTCCACATTAACTGAGCAGTTTCTTTAAAAATTCGACTCCTTTGGCCAGTGTAGCTGGAGGGTAGTGAATAAGTGGAAGACTGGAATGAGGCTGAAGAAACAGGTAGGAACCAGGTCACTACTCACTTACAGACTATCGTAAGGAGTTTAGATTTTAGTCCTACAAAGAAGGGAAGCCCTGGAAAGGCTTTTAGCAGAGGAATGGCACAGTCTAATTTACACTGGGAAAAAAACAAAAAACAACTATAGAAAATGGGTAAGAAGAGGCAAGATATAATGTGCAAATGCATAAAAACAGGCTGGAAAAGTGTACAACAAACTCTAATGAGTATGAGTGGTAAGTAAAGAAAGTTTTGACACTTGGATACTTTGTTTTGTTTCAACTTTTTCTAACAAACATATCACACATTACTTTTTTTTTTTTTTAAAAGAATACTGGAAGGAAAATTCCTTCCTTTTCATGGTAGAATCCCAGGTTTGGTGGCAAGAAATGGCTTCTCTATACTCTCAGCTTTCCTTCGGGTTCCTCGCAAGGAAAGCTGTGTCCCCCAAAAGGCCCCACCTTCTCCCAGTCCTGCTAAATCATTCCTCAGGGCAACCTCAAGTCACCTCTGGTCCAACCCTGCCCCGGATGAAGCCCTACGTTTTAAATAAAAAACCAACTTGAGTCTTAATCCCTTCCTATTTCCTTTGACAGATTCTTTCACCTCTCCAAGGCTAACTTATCCAATGTTTTTATAAACTTTTTCTCCCTCTACCTCCAAATTGTACCCCCACCAACAAGAGCCACACTGCCCCGTTCTACCAAAGCTACTTTCTTACCACTAGGCCAGCAATTCCTCAGAGTCTCCATTCTTCCAAATTTTCTCAACAGCCGTTAACATGAGCATTGGGAACAGGGGATCCCAACACTCTCTGCTCCTTCTTGAGCACAATGTTTATCTTGCCATCCATCTTAAAGTACAAGCTTCCCAAAGGTAGGGAGTACACTAATCTCAATGTGTAGAATGCCTAGATTTGGTCACACACGAAACAATACACAGAAGCTTTTGGTGCTGAAAATCCAACTGTTACATATCAACTGACCCTTGAAGAGCATGGGTTTGAACTGTGTGGATCCATTTATACCTGGATGTTTTTTCAATAGTAAATACTACAGTATTACACTATCTGAGGTTGGTTGAATCCTCGGATACAGAGGAACCCCGGATATGGAGGGCTGACTAAATCATATGCAAATTTTCAACTGAGTGGAGTCAGGCCTCCTAACCCCCGAGTTCTTCAAGGGTCAACTACACTTGAAAATGCTTTATACAAGCCGTGAAATAAGGTGGCAGTCAGTTATTTTTGGAAAAGCATCGGCATCATGGTGATACTAAATTCACTGAAAATTCTTAAGTACAAAGCAAGGAGGGCTTGGAAGCAGCTCACCACGTTGTCCCCAAGTTCCCTACGCTTTAAAGGCCCTACAGAAATGGCAGGCTGGGTACAGAGATCATTTAAGGAGGGAAAGGTGGCAGGGCTGGATTGAGCCAAGCCAGGTCAATCAGGATGGGTCCTCTTCTGTCAGTTTCCCGGGGGCAAGCACTGCTATGGAAAGCCCAGCTTCTGTCCCTAAGTTACTTTCCAACCGCATTTTTACTCAAGTAAAGAAACAACAGCAGAATCCAGTAATCTGCCAAGGGTATCATGGAAGGCTTGGTAATTCCAGCTTAATAGTCTTCTTCTTCATCCTCCTTAAAAACTTTTGTTAAGCATTATTAAGCTTGACGCTCTATAAAACAACAGGTCATATGCTAAGTCATGTAGTGCTCAATACCACAAAGGCAAGCATACATTCTGTACGGCTGTACCAAAGACTGAGCTTTCTGGGGAACCCTTTTACCTCTCAATCACAGAAGGCTTCCAGAATATCAAGTACCAATTCAATAACAGCAAGGAGAATTCTTGGTGACTGAAGTTTCACACACCAAAAGGATAGCTATAATTGGTCAATACAGCAAAGAAACAGAAAAGACGTCAGTTCAGGAAAAACCCAAGGTGGTGGTCTGGAGCCTCTTGGTGAAGGGTTTTATCACCAGTCAGAAGAATCTTGGTTCTGATCCCCAGTTCTTTAAAGGCCAACCAAAACTCTTATGGTAGCCGTGGCAGGAAGGTGGATTACAGGGACGAAAAGGCAAGCAACCACCTAGCAGACTAGCTAACTTGCTGAGTGTTACCACCTGATGGGCACTTCATATGTATTCATTCATTTAATCCCCTTTAACAGCCTGAGGGCCAGAAATGTAATACCATGCTCAAAGTCACACACCTAGTAAGTGGCAGAGCTAGTTACGAACCTAGGCATTCAGTGTAGCTCCAAAGCCCTTACTCTCCACTGCTCTGCTATGCTGCCTCTGCACACAAGATGAAGATGACTTCAGGAACAGTAACGTTGAAGATGGACTGAAAAAGGCAGTACTGGAGGTATGAAAGGGAGAGGGAATACAGATTAATGCCAGGTTCCTTCTATTGGGTACAGGCGGGATTCACAGGGCATTTGGCCACAATGAACACCTCCTAAGGGTCAGTTTGACATCTACTAGGTCAGGGATAAGCTGAGGAAGCAGGAAAAGAACAGAGAACTGAGTTGGATTGAGAGGCTGAAATGAACGAGTGAACTGCCAAGTGCACAGGGAGCAGTATCTTAGGGTTTTGCTTCAAACACTTAAAAGCTGACCCTGTTCAACAACAACTCAGGAGACACCACCGAGGTGCTTTGGGACCCACGTAAGGTATCTGCAGCTGAGATGGAAAAACGGACGCCGTGGAAGCGGGGAGGGGAGGAGGGCTACAGAGACACGCCAGGATTCACCAACCTCCCTAACTTAAGAAAACGAGAACCAGAGTTAGGTGGCCAACTAGAAAAGCCGCTTAATGTCACATCTGGAGGCGCAGACAGGGTCGGAGTCAGAGGCCGGGTCTTCCCACCTCTGATGCAGTGTCCCCATCTGCCCTACCTATTCTCCTGGCTGAGGAGGTGGACGTCCGACAACCAGCAGAGCCTGGTACATTCAGTAGGTAATAAATATGCGTTTACTTAATGAACGAGTGAGTTAATTAAAGTACGAGCGGAGAGGTCTGTTTCCATTTACGCAGCAGCAGGCGGGGAGCAGTGAGCGACCACAGTTGAGACCTTGGGCTCGGCCCAACATTAAGATCCCCATGTTGCCTCTGCAGGTTCTAGGAAGCACCCGCTTCACATCCGCATTTTCCAGGGCAGCCAGAGCTTCCTAGTCTGCCCCTCGACCGCGTATGCACGCTCAACCCGCAGTCATTTAACGCAGGTCATGATTATGGGGGCTCAGAAAACTGGGTGGCCGATGTGGGTTCGCGGCCCCGAAGCACCCTGGGATTTGCAGCCCCCAGCCGGCCAGACCAGAGCCTCCTCTTGAGCCCCACACAACCCTCTTCGAGGGCCCCTGCTCCGTGCCCGGGCCCACCAGACGGCGGCAGGCCGGGATCACCCACAGACAGGGCTCGGGGGAAGGATCGAGGCAGTAGGCTGGCGGGGGCGGGGGGGAGGTCCTACTGGACCGGCCCCGGCCAGGCGGCGCCAGCTACTGACCAGATGGCAGCGGATGGAGCCAGATGCGCAAGACACCACTCACCATCATCTTGGAAGCCTATTCAGTGGCCCGCGGCTCCTCTTCTCTGCGCCCGGGCCGCCCAGCAACCCCACAATCCTCCGCGCCAGAGAAACCCCCAGAAGCTTCGCCAAGCCGTTGGAACGAGAGAGGAAGGGGATGGGCCGCTTCCGCCACTCTATGGTTCGCTATCACAGAGTCGGCGTAGCTAGAAGGGCCAGAGGCGGGGCTTCTGCCAGCCGTCTTACGAGAAGCGGTGGTAAAGGAACAGTCAGTCGCTGGTTTTCGATGGTGCCGTTCTTTTTGAGCATGTAGGATCCTTGCTCGGCCCGCGTCGCCCACTAACTCTAATTCCATTTCCCTTCTCCCCTCAAACGCCAGCCCAAGGAATGCAATAAACGCAAATATTTATTGAGCGCTGACTGCGGAACAGGCTTTTGCTAAGTAAGCATTTGACGTAAGTGAGCTCATTTAACCCTCACAACGCTATCGCGATGGCACTGAAATCATGCCCAATTTACAGATGAGAGAACTGAGGCTGAGAGGTTAGGTGTCCAAAATCACAGTTGTACAGTAAATGGTAGATAAACAGGCGCGGGCACCTGGCCCCAATGCTCGTTTTCTGGCTCGGCACTGGCCAGAGCTTCCTCGAGGGTCGTGTACATCAGTCTATGTCCCCAGAGCCTACTGTATGAGAGCGCAAGCGCCGGTAGAACTAGGCAGGGGTCGCCGGAGACCACCTGGGCGCTAGACGAATGCCTTCCCAAAGAGGGGATGGGAAGGAGGAAAACACAACTAGGGGAAGGTAAATCGTCGTCTTGCGAAGCGGCCACAGGGAGGATCCGGCCGAGACCGCACGAGCTGATTGGCCAAGACTTTCCGCGGCTGAGGCGAGTCCTGCGGGTCTCCCACCTACAGTTCTCCCGCCCCCCCAGCCAGCGAGGTCCTGCGGAGTCGAATCCAATCAGAGAAATGCTGGGGCAGGGACGGCAGTTGCAGTCAAGAGTTAAAAACAAATTAGCCCTCGGCCCCACTTCTCTCCACCAATAGGAAGTGGGCTAGGGCACAGGGGCGACAAATGTGGCTACACGAGCAGGCGTCAGAACCAATCGGCCCTGGGCCTCGTTCCGGTGCGCCAACCAGCGGCGTGAGCGGGTCTGGGGGCGGGAGTCCAGAGCAGCTGTCAGGCCGAAGTCCGGCGAGCTACGCGCAGCAGGGCGGCTGGAGGAAGCGCGGCGCCGGGCCGGGCCCTGGAGATGGTCCCCGGCGCCGCGGGCTGGTGTTGTCTCGTGCTCTGGCTCCCCGCGTGCGTCGCGGCCCACGGTGAGCGGCAACGGGCGGGGCTGCGCTTCAGGGCGGGGCTGGCGGTCCAGCTTAAGCCCGGCTCGGGCCGGGGTCCACGGGTCACCTTGGGGACCCCGCGAATTCGGAGCAGGGCAGGTTCAGAAACGGGCGCCTGGAGTGGGTGGGTAGTGGTTCCCGAGGGACATGAACTGTGTGCGGCCTGAGGCTGGGCTGTGAGTCCTCAGCCCCCCACGTCGAAGTAAGACTCCCTCTACCCCCACTAGCGCTGACTTAGGTGGCGAAGGCGGCGAGGAACAAGGAGCAACTAGCGATACTACAAGCTGGAGATACGTAAGCACTCACATACATAAACGGGGCCACACATTGCTACACGTGGGTTCACAGGCACTAGCACATACGTACACACCCAACTTGTTTGCACCTACACGAGAACATAAACATATACGTACTTGAGCACATGTGTATACCTACACTTGATTTACACAGATCAGCAGATGCAAAGGCCAGGCAAAGATGTATGTGGGGAGGAGGGGAAGCTTAGTGCTAATCCAGGAAAGCTTCCTTGGGAGTGTATCTGTACCCGATGGGAAGTCTTCACTCCCAGGATAAAAGGCCATATATGTAGCCCAGTGCCAAGCCAGTGGAGCTCTACCGGGTGGCTGATTTTGGACAGTAGAAAAGGACAGCAAAAGCCACAATCCATCCCAACGCTGGCACACAGTAGCGACTTGATAGTTTGTTGATTGACTAACAGACCTGTGGCAGCAGCTTCCACCTTTTCACATTCCTCAGTCTCTCTGGGCTAAGGAAACCAGGGACTCAAGTTCAGGTAAATCATTAGACTTTGGTGCTAAAGAGATCCACACCCCAGAAATATCTGGTTATTCTGGCAATTCCCTTCCTCAACACAGTAGAGCTGGAAATAGCCGTTCATTCATTCAACAACCTTTTTGAGCACCAACTGTCTCCTAGCCACTATGTTAGATAATGTGGATACAGTATTGAATGAAGTTACAAACTTAGGCCCTTGTCCTAGTGCAGGAGATAGACAATAAACAAAAAATTACAAATACTGTATAATTACAAATGATGTTAGAAGTGTCATTGGAGAAAAAGTATATTTTGAATGGGCATAAGGGGAGGGCAGTCACAGGGCAGGTTTCCCTAAGTGACATTTAAGTTATGACCTGGTAGATGAATAGAAGTGAGCCATATAAAGGGGTAGAGGTGGGGGTAGGGTGAGGGAACTTGTAAGAAGCCTTGGAGATGTGAAGAAACTGAAAGGAGGGCAGTGTAGCTTGAACATAGGAAGAGATGAAGTTGGAGGGCCAGATCAAGCAGGGCCTTGCAGACCAGAGTTAAGTTTAGATTTTAAGTGCAAAGGGAAGTTGTTGAAGGGTATTGAAGTGGTGACATGATATTTGCCTTAAGATGTTTTAAGAAAATCCCTGGCAGTTATTGGGGGAATGGACCGTAGGGACCAAAAATGGAGGCTAAGATAGACCAGTTAGGGCTTCCCTGGTGGCGCAGTGGTTGAGGGTCTGCCTGCCGATGCAGGGGACACGGGTTCATGCCCCGGTCCGTGAAGATCCCACATGCCGCGAAGTGGCTTGGCCCGTGAGCCATGGCCGCTGAGACTGCGCATCCGGAGCCTGTGCTCCGCAACGGGGGAGGCCACAACAGTGAAAGGCCCGCGTACCGCAAAAAAAAAAAAAAGACCAGTTAAAAAGCTGCAACAGCCAGGACAAGAAATGATAGTGGCTGGACTAGGAGGATGGCAGTGGAACCAGAGTCAACTTTTAAGTTTTGGTGAGAGTTGCTTTGTACGCAGGCTACCACATCTCCATCTTGAAATTCCCAAGTCTGCTTCAGAGCAAAGATGAATGAATTAATCCTCAGAGAGGTTAACACTGGAGCTATGTCTTCCCGGCTCACCTGTGTAAGCAGCAACAGCAGCAGCTGTAAATCTCTGGGGTTACTAACTCTGTCTGCATCAACTCTATCCTCTCCAGGGCAGAGACCATCTATCCTACCCACCTGCAGGACCCAACTGGCTGAAGCTGGGTCTCTGGGCCCAGACCTTAACCAGCCCCGTTGAAGGCATGGGGTCCATGATCTGAACCTGAACCAGCTTTTTTCCCTTGAGCCTTCTCACTTGTACATTTTACCTTTCAGGCTTACGCATCCATGATTATTTGTACTTTCAAGTGCTGAGTCCTGGGGACATTCGATACATCTTTACTGCCACGCCTGCCAAGGACTTTGGTGGTATCTTTGTAAGTTCAGGGAGGCCCCCTCATCTCTGATCCTGTCTCCACATTCCCCGCACTAAGCCGAGGTGACCCTCATCACTTCAACCCATACCTGAGTGCTGGGACAGAGAAGGGGGCAGAATCCAGCTGTCTTCCAGGGGCTACAGAGCCAGGAAGGGCTTCCAGCTATTCCTCTGGGTATAATACAGACCTGGGCACCACAGAGGGAAAAGCTATCTTCTTAGGGACACGAAGTAGTGAAAAACCAAGGGCTCTGCTAGCTCCACCTCTGAACTACATGACTCAAGGCAAGTTACTTCCCCTCTCTGGGTCCATACCAACTTCCCTTCCTATGTCTGGGAAAGGCAGGGTGGGATAGGACTAGACAGGCCTTTGTGAGAATTAAGTAAAAATGCTCAAGTGTCCAGTACACAGAAATCGTTCCTCATTTCCCTCACACTTTGTGAGAAGCTGATAAGATGGGATGGTCGGCCCAGTCCTAAAGCAGGTGTGTCTCCCCACACTCTCACCTGTCTAAATGTCTTTCAGCACACAAGGTATGAGCAGATTCACCTTGTCCCTGCTGAACCTTCAGAGGCCTGCGGGGAACTCAGCAACGGTTTCTTCATCCAGGACCAGATCGCTCTGGTGGAGAGGGGGTAAGGAGCGGACAGGCGTGGGCACAAGGGGAAGGCAGGCATAGGGTAGATTCTGAGATCAATGTTGGTGGTGATGCTTTGAAATAGCTGCTTTTAAATAATTCATCTTTTTAAGGGTCTTTAAGAAACATCTTAAGATTATCCAAGCCTTTGGCCATTTACTTGTGAGCCTTTATCAAAAAGCCTCCAAGGTCCTCCTTTCATCTTCCCAGGGTGGTGGTCTGGGGAATGGATAGCTAGGACCCTGCCTTTCCTTTGGTCTCATCACCACCTCTTCCAGGGGCTGCTCCTTCCTCTCCAAGACCCGGGTGGTGCAGGAGCATGGTGGGCGGGCAGTGATCATCTCTGACAACGCAGTTGACAATGACAGCTTCTACGTGGAGATGATCCAAGACAGTACCCAGCGCACAGCTGACATCCCCGCCCTCTTCCTGCTTGGCCGAGATGGGTGAGGGCTCTTTGTCTCTGGCTGTATCAGCACCAGGCTGGGTGCCATGACTCGGGGAGGTCAAGGGCAATCACCAGTCCCTACCCACAAGCCTCATCTTGGGATGCCCTGGTTGGAGGACCAAAAAAGTCCTCAGGCTCTGGAGCTCCCAGAGTGATGGGGACAGTGGGGCAGAATGGGGTGTCAGGAAAGTGACCATCACCACCTCTCTTCGTGCTCTCCCAGCTACATGATCCGCCGCTCCCTGGAACAGCATGGGCTGCCATGGGCCATCATTTCCATCCCAGTCAATGTCACCAGCATCCCCACCTTTGAGCTGCTGCAACCGCCCTGGACCTTCTGGTAGAAGAGTTGGTCCCACATTCCAGCCATAAGCAACTCTGGGCTGGGAAGGGGAAAATCCAGGAATTCTGCTGTTTGGGACTTGGGGATAGCATTTGGGGACTGGGGGAGCCAGGCAGAGGAAAAGGGCTTGGGCCTTGGCTAAGTTAAAGGAAGACACACCACTGGCCTTCCCTCCCCTGGGCTCCTAAGGTGTCTCATGCTATGGGAAGAGGCAAGACCCAGGCCCCAGGTCTTATGGGCTAGGGTCTGGAACTAAAGGGGCCAACAGCAGGTGGTCTGAGAGCCATCTGAGACCTGTCACATCCCACCTGGCTTCAGCCTCCCCACCCAGGGTCTTTCACAGCAGTTGCTGGAATGGTATAAGGAGCTGGTGTTTGAGGACTACATAATAAACCCTCACTGACTTTTTAGCAATAAAGCCTCTCATCAGGGTTGTAACTGTGTCCTAGAGTAAAAGTACACAGGGGTGGGAGGGGCCTTCAAACACTTATCTGGTCCCATGCTCTTGTTTTGAAGGGAGGAAATTGAGGCCCAGAGAGGATACATGACTTGCCCAAGGTCCTTTAGGACCAGTGCTCAGATTGCTAATCTTGGATCACAACAGCCTCCTGCTCAAAAACTTGGGAAGCTGTAGTTCAGTCCCTGAGCAAAAGCCTCATCTTGTAGCCTGGTACTGAGGATCCACATTGGACCTCAGAAGAGCCCTGCTCTTGGACTTTAGAAACATTTGCACAGCAGAGTAGAGTATAGGCAAGACCAGGGATGAACCCAAACTGGGGAGCTGCAGCTCCCATCTCCTGCAGTCACCTGCTCTATCCTATGCACTTTTGCACCACCCGTGTGACTGCTGCCTTCCTGGAGCAGCTTGTCAAGCCATTCTCCACAAAGCATTCCTGCAAAGGCCTGTCACCACTCATATTTTATTGAGAACAGTGGGCAGGTGGGGAGGAGGGGGTGCTGGCTACTGTGAAGGATTAAGAACCCAATAGGCCAGACAGGCAGATTCCACCTGGCTCACGATGCAGGAAAGGGCCTGTGGGGCGGCACCTGCCCTCCCTGGGATCCCTCAGCAGGGGCATGTGGCAGCCCCTCAGGAAAGGTAGGCAGAAAGGAATTGCAGGTGATAGGTTACAATTTCCACAGCTTCCAACCCAAGAGTAAGGGGTAGTGCTAATCTGGGGAGGAGAGGGAGAGAGTCAGGGCTAATCTGAGTATCTAGCCTAGCTCTCCTAGGTTTCTGGAAGACTTCAGTGTTCCTAAATGATCCTAAAGATGGAGACTGAGACTAAGAGAGCCCCTCACTGACCCATGCTCTAGAAGATTCTAGGACATCCTAAATTAAGGAGCACAGGCCTTTCATCCCCCAGAACTCAGCCATGCTGCTAGAGTCCTCAGTGGGAGGAAGGTGGGAGGAAGGGGTCATGACGTCCCTCCCAAGGGAGGCAGAGACCTCTTCCACACCCTGTGAGGCCAGCCACTGTGCCAGGGCCTGAGAGGCAAGGCATAAGGACAGATTCTGGGGTCTGGGGAGATTCTCTACTCCCCGGATGTCTAAATGGTGGGTGTGGGGAGGTGAGCAGAGGGAGGTAATGCCCCTGGTTCAGTGTCCCCCACAGAAAGCCTTAGAGAAGGTGCTCTGGAGGCCCAGTTCCTCCCTCTTGCCTCTCCCAGCTGTGCTAGTGGGGAAGAGGGTAAGGGTGTCTAACCCCCTCTCTTCTTCAATGGAGTCAGGCTGTTCGCAGGTTGCCACTTTGTGACCCAACCACCACCCCACCAACAGTGAGTTGAGAAGGGTGAAGCCTTAGGTGGATGAGTAAGTGGGGCCATGGGGCCAAGGGGAAGAAACACTGTTAGGCCCTGACCTTGGTTCCAGCCACTTACACCCATACCTCAGGGGGAGGCCAGTTCTGAGAGGCTCAGTGACAGCGCAGAGCCTGAGCCGCTCAACAGCAGTGTCCTGGGCATGAGGTCTGGCGGGAGGTGGAGGGCCTAGGGTCCAGCCTGTCTTACCCTCTGGAAGAAACAGAGCTGGCATGGGGGGAAAGCAGGCAACAGGAGTGGGAGTTCCTTCCAAGCCTCTGCTCTGGGGGAAGGTCCCCTCTTCTGGCAGGGTCTGGGGTAGGACCACTTCCAGGCAGGATGACATCACACATCAGTCATCTCATCCCCCAGCTCAGCATCTTCCGGCTCTCCTTCCTCATCCTCTTCATCGTCCTCCTCCTCAGAGGTCATGTTGGGTTCATCAGCCTCTGCCAGACATTTGGGGCAGGAACAGACAAACAGATAGTTCTCCCTGCAGAGGGTGGGGGGGATGATGGTGAGGGTACAAAGTCAGGCAGCCACCAGCACGGAGAAGCCCAGAGCCCGGCTTCCCACCACACCCCCAGCTGGCACCTGAGGATCTTGTGGCGGCTGTGGCGGCTGCGCTCCCGCTGACAGCAGTCTAAGTAGCTGATGCAGATTTCCTAACGGGCAGGAGAAAGGTGGGCTCTGACAGTCTGTGCTTCTAACAGATGGGATTAGGGCCTCCCCAACCTCTGCCCTATGTCCAACCATTGCCCCGTCCCCAGGAGCCGGAGCTGCCCTTCAGCGAAGGTGCAGGTCACCTTGATCCATTCCCCTGTGCTCACAGCAGAGGCCACTATGAGGATTTCACAATCTGTGTCTGAGACAGGGGGCTATGCTTGGCCTTGGGCCATGGCCAAGGTCTGTGGCTGGGGCAGAGGTTATCTTGGTGTGAAGCTACTTGCCCTGAAAGAAGTTTCAGCCAGGCTCCGTGCACAGCTCCAAGAGCCAGGACCCCACACCCACACTAGTACCCCACAGTCCAAGCCACAAAGGGCCATGTCCTGCTTCCTTAGATGCTGCAGATTCCTTGATCAAAAGATAGCTGGGGACAAGAACTTAGGCACACAGTTGTCTCTGAAACACTGCTCTGAGGCTTTCTGGAGTTATCTTTTGAAGTGGGGTGGGGTTAGAGTATACTCATGGGGAAGACTCATGTCCTGGAGCATGTGGGGATTCAACCCAACAGCCTGAACTTGGGACTGTAGCCACTGCTGCTCCCAATTCCTGGAGAGAACCTGCAAGGCCCACTGCCCACCCACCCCGACGGCTACTGGCCCCCTCACCTCTCCTGGCTTAATATCCTCCAGGGCGGTGACATGCAAAAGGAAGTTGTTTTCTGGGAAGGAGGTCTCTGCATTGGGGACACAGCTGTGGTTGCCTGGGTCATGAGAGGCAGGTAATGAGGATTGTTGACTAATAAAAATAACAGCCTTAACTGTGCAGAGCACTGGGTCCCATCTTTCCTTGTTCTCTGATCCCTGCTAGGGCTAGGCAGGTCCTGGGACCCCAGTTTCCTATATCCCTGTCCAGTGCTCTTTTCCTGAAGAGCACAGGCACTAATGCAATCCCGCATCACTCCCCTCCCCTCCTGCCATGACTGCCCCTTCTCTCCTCACTGGTCAACTTGATCCTCAGATGTGTTGCCAGTGTCTCACAAACGGAGGGACAGGGCTGTGAAAGGGATGCCCGTGCCAGGCCACTTAACTCAGTCCTGTCTGTTACTGGATGTCTGGTAACAGCTGAGCCAGGCCCTGTGAGAGCCTAGTTTGGGAGGAGTAGTGCCCCCAGAGCCTGGGAGGAAGGTTTTGCAGTGAGGAGAGCAGAGGGTGGGAGGCTGGGATCTGGAAAAGACAACAGTCTGAGCTGGCTCTGCCCCCTCCATCAGGTGCTGATGAGACTGCCTTCCAGCCTGAGCTCCTCCCGGGCTATCAAAACACTCTCCTACCAAAGCTCACAGGGCAGTGGTGGGGCAAAACCCAGGCTTCCCTTTGCAAGAATCAGAGCTCTGTGCCCTGCCTTAGCACTGGGCCTAGCCCACGGGAAGGTTTTATATCAAGGCACAAGAGTCCAATAAATGAATGAAAAAATAATAGAAGGAGAAGGCTGAGGGGAAATCCCCAGGAAGCTCAGCCCTAACCCCACTCCTAGACTCAACTCTACCAGCCCCGAAGGGGCCAAGAGAGATGAACTGCAGCTGTGAGGCTACCCCTTCTCAATGCCGGGACTCACAGCAGCTCTGCAGCACAAAGAGGCCAGATCCTTCACAGTTAAGAAACTCACCAGTTGCTGTAAGACAGTAATAGGCAGATGTTATTGCATCCACTTTATAGGTGGGAAAAAGAAACTAGGCTAATAAGGACAGGCACTGGCTCCACTGTCTTGCCACCCAATCACTACTATTTTACCTGAAATTGCTTCTCTGAGGCACAACCCCTGCTTTCCTATAAATGGTACCACCTTACTGTCCAGCCCTCCCCCACCCCCAGCATCAAGCCTCCGCACGGATCGCGGAGCCATTTCTTGGGTATGTCCTGCAAACAGATCTGAAGCTTCCCATAGGCACACAGGGATTACCTTCCCCAACCACGAACTCAGAGCTCCCTGGGGGAAGACTGTGTCCACTGTCTAACTGACGGATGTCTCCAAAGTTGGGTGAGGCCAAGACTCCATCTCACCAACCTGTCTCGATGTCCTTGTACAGCTGGTCAATGAAGGCGTCCAGCTGCTCACGGTCCTGAGGCTTCAGCTCCAGAGCGTCACAGGCATGCACCCACTGGCTCAGGGAGCTGGGGGTCCCAGGCAGCCATGGTTGGAGAGGAGGAGGCCTAGCCCACAGGGCTCCCCCACTCCAAGCAAGTTAAGTCCATTTCTTTCTCCAGGGGGAGGGTGGGGGTGGGTGGGTGTGTCCTTCCCCAACAGACTAAGTGCTCCCAAGACTCAGTCTTTCTGACCCCCACCACTGAGTTTAGTCCAGCATTCTGGCCAGAGTCACACCCTGCCCCACCCTAGTCTTGAAAAGAGATGTGGCTACCTTCCTCAGTCAATCTCCCACCCCAGCCCTGAGGGACAAGTCCAACAGCTCTGGAACATTCTCTCCTAACCTGGTCCCAATTCCTTGGCCATTGGTCCCAACAAGAGCAAAGAGAGACCGGAATCCATCCGGAGTGAACCACTGTGGGGAAAGAGGGAGAAGAGCATTCAGGTTACAGCCACTAGCTTTTCTTCCTGTTGAGGAAGTTTGCTGTGAGTCAGTCCCATCCCAACTCCAGAAGACCAGATCTGCTCTGGCTTAGCTGTCCCGGTAGGAGACGCTGACCTGGTTGCTCCTGGAGTGCTGGAGTGACTGGGAGGCCATTGGTCCCACCTTCCCCACACTCACCTGGCTGAGTGCTTCCTCATAAAGGGCCTCTGTGAAGAGTCTCCGCAGAAGCTCCAGCTGGCCCTGGTTTAGGGGAAGCAGGGAGAGACGTGCATCCCTGGGGATTTCCCATTAGCACCCAGGCAGGGCCCATAAGACCACATAAGGGAAGGAAAAGGGCGAGCTCTACAGACCGAGCTTTCTCTGGGGGCAAAGGAAAGCCACAAAATCCTTATCTCCAAGAGACTTGGCAGTCTACTGGCCTGTTCCAACCCAGGGTAGCAAACCCCAAATTCCTCCCTATTTTCTAGCCCTTGTACCAGCAGGGCGGAGGCAGCCTGGCTTAGAATGTCTGTCCTCACCACCACCCTCCAGGCTCCCTGCCCCAGCCTCCAGACCAGCTTGACCCTCCCCCTCCTTTCCTCAGATTCAGTGCAGGAAGGCCCACCCCAGCGCCCTTTCACACACCTACCTCCACCTTCAGGCAGCTCCTGCATGGAAGTCTGCTATTCTCAGGGAGAATGCATAGTTCTTTGATTTGAAGCAAGTGCTCAGTACATTGGCAACTAAAATTGTTTCACACCGCTCCCTGACCCTGTGGAACCCCCAGCCCTCCACTTTCCGTTACACTTGATTCGCCCACTGCTATCCTATCACGGGGTCCTGCCTTCCCACATCAGGGCACCCAGCCCTTCTGTCCTCTGTCATCACCCCACTTCCCAATTTTAAGTCCACATTAGGTCATGAAGTTAAATAGCGGCAGGAATACAAGTCTCTGAACAGATTTTTGGACCCAGGCTCTAACTTCTTCCTGTGGCTGGGAAGGCAGCAAATGTGGAGCTTCCCTTAGGTAGCCATGGACATCCCCAGGCTACTGGGCGGGTGGGAGGGTCAGGTGGAGAGACCAACCTTGAATTTGTCCCCCAGGAGTTTGTGGACAATTTCCTCCTCCTCATTGGCGGTTTTATTACAGAACTGGGAGAAGAGCCTGATCCAACGATCCTTATCCTTAGCCTGCAGTGAACAAATATACTTCAGGGTCAGGTTCACACATGCTCACGCATGCATGTGCAGACATGGACTCACGGACACCCTCCTCTTTACTGCCGCTCCTGCCCACGTGAGAGGAGTAAGCTGTCATTCTAAAACCCCTGCCCTGAGAAACACCATCACACATGAGCTTCTAAGTAGACCCTTCCTGCCCACCCTGCCCACACCCAACCATCTTCCCAGCTGGTGCCAAGCTAGCCAGTTCACGACACTTGGGAAAATAGGAGGATGAGGCTGACGAGCAACAACACTAAAGGGGTCAGAGTGGCTTCTCTCGCTTTATCTGAGAGACACAGTCCTGAAAAGGGGGTGCTTATGTATGAATTGCTGCTGCACAGGAGGTCATCCAGAGATCACAGACCACAGGCAAGATGAGCCCCCATGTCCCCTGCTAGATTTATGGTTAGCTACTCCTAAGGTTTACACAGCAAGCAGCTCTCCTTTGGGAAGCCCAGAAGGAACTCTGTATCCAAGCCAGAGGGTTAAGGTGAGAAGAAAACTGAGGCCAAGGGTTGAATGAGGCCGGAGTCAGCTTCCCTGAGAAGATCAGGTGGGCTCACCTGTTTCACTGTGGCCACCATCCGGGCCATCAACATGATGCTTGCAGTCTCAGGGGGGTAGTGAACACTCCTGGGGAGAAAGAAAAAGGTTTGGCCTAGAACTTCCCTCCCCAGTAGCTGAATTCAGGGAAGCCCAGTCTGATTACTACAGAGAATCTTTCCTGGCCTAGAACTTCCCTCCCCAGTAGCTGAATTCAGGGAAGCCCAGTCTGATTACTACAGAGAATCTTTCCTACCAATCTCATTTATAACCAAAGAGAGAAATTCATTGGCAAGGACTTGGGCAGGATTTTATATCCCTATGGGCTTCATGGGGCTCTTCCTGGGAGTGTGTAAAATGCTGAGAATGGTAGGACTGGCGGCTCAGATTTAAGGCAGAGGGAATGGGTGATAGTTTAGCCCTAAGAATGGAGGAAAAATCTAGGGGGTGGTAACTTAACAAAGATGGCTGCATCCACTAAGCGTGGGGAAGGCAGGCAGGGAGGGAAGGATAAAGGAAAGAAGAGAGGAAATGCTACCTACCTCCATGCCTCCTGCAGCTTATTGAGAGGATGCAGGGGGTCATCCCGGGAGGGGCCTGGGCACAGGACCCGATGGTATTGCTCAGCTGCGGCTAGCAGACATTCTGTACTGCAGTACGTCACCTGTTGGGGGAGGTGGAGGTCAGCACCCTAGGATCTGGCAGTGGGGTGAGGCACAGACACCCATGTGGTCTCACCTCCTCTAACTGTACTCCTTCCACAAATAGCCCCTAAGCAGCAGTCAGTGGTATTGTGAGATGAAAAAGCATACAGTGCTCTGGAGACCTGTGAGAGGGGCACGTGACCCAGGCTTGTAAAAACGTGGGAAGGAGAGACTGCTTCTCAGGTACTGGGAAAGGCCCCTGCCAGGCTCCTAGGAAGAGGGCAAGCTCCCACCAAGCCTATTTTCTAGACAATGGGACTGGAACAGAGGACGAAACTGGCACAGTAATGTCTTTTTCATGTCTTTCCCTACATTCGGGCTCTCAAGGGCCATGACCAAGTCTGTCCTCACTCCTGTCTCCCCAGAGAGGACTTCAGCTTAGCCCCCAGGGATATTCACCTGGCAGTGGGGACAATTCTGGTGCAGGTCCTTGCGCACAGGGCACAGCTCAGGGTGAGGCAAAACCTGGCCTGGTTTCCCAGTCAGTCTCTGGGCGTTCTCCTCTGCCTTCTCCAGTGCCCGAAGGCAGTGGTCACAGGCTGGGGGAGAGAGCCAGATGTTGACAATTAAGTGTCTTGAGAGCAGGGGCCGCATTTGTCCTTTTCACAGCAATATGCCCAGGGTTAATATAGCACCTAGCTCAGAGAAGGTGTTCAATAAAAGTATGAGAAGTGAGTGAATGAATGACTATGTTAAATGAATGTATTTCACACGCATTATAGATGATGCCTTCTTCCCTCTCCGAAGTCCCCACTCCTCCCGGCAGACTCTCTCTGCTTCTTGATGGGACTTAGTCTATGGGGTTCCCCACCCAGCCCCCAAACTGGGCTTTCCCCACATTCTGGAGCCGAGTGACCCTCCTTTCACAGATTTTTCTCTAGCCCAAGAAAAGTGTGAAAAAAGCATGTGACTGGCAAAGCTAAGAGCGTCCTATTTGTTTCTGGCCCCTAACAGCCTTTATTGACCAAGGGGCATGGGGTCTCCTCTTGGCAGAGGGCTCCACTTTGGCACAGAGCCCTTCAGCACGACATCTAGTACCTTAGAGTATAGGCCACACTGAGTTCCACCTGAGTGACAGTCCTCCCCCAAGGAGCACTTTGGAAGAACCTTTCTGCAGCAGGCTCACAGCCCCAAATGGCCTGAGATTAGACAGAGGCATGGTTCTCAGGTGCAGCTCTCCAAGGGAAGACGCACTTTCCTCCCAACACCTGGAGTCCTAGAGACGGCAGCCGGTAGGGATGTATGTACTCTCTTCCATGCGCAAAGGCTGCTGGGCCCAACAGCCCTCAGGAGTAGGTGAGATGTGCTCACCTCGGTAGCGATAAAGTGCATTCCAGAGAAACTGTGCAGCCACCAGGGGCCGTTCGATGAATATGGTCTCCCCCTTCTGGATCAGCTGTGTGGCAAACAACCCCTTTCCCTAAGAGGGCAGAGAAGAATAGGATGGCCATAAGAAGAGACAGAGGACATAGCTTCAAGGGCTCCTCACCCCCACGTGCTTCCCTCGCATCAGAGGCCTCTGCCTCAGGAGGGTTCATGGAGCATGGTCGGCACCCTCCATAACTGCCTCCTCTGGAAGTGCAGCTCTGTCCAGTTTCAGTCGCACTTCTACCAGCCTGTCCAGAGCAGAGGGCCTCGGATGGGAAGAGAGCCACCACATCAGCCATGTCAGACTAATCAGAGAATTTTTAGGATGGCCAGAGCAGGGCCAAGGTTCACAGCAGGCTGGAGTCTCCAGTACTAGGAACTGGTACAGGGCGGCCTTCTCTGAGTCACCCACATGCCCCTCCAGGATCCTGGTCGTGATGCTGCTCCTCAGGGTTGCATAGAAATCCTACAGCACGGGAGGGAGAGGCCTATGCAGGAGAATACGCTCTTCTTCCCTGGTCAGCTGGGTACTCAACAGCACCTAGCATTCATAGTACCTGGTACCCAACAAGTTCTCAGGTGTTACACTGAAAGGAATGACTAATCCTAGCACCAGTCCTAATGCTAACTTGCTGTGAAACTTTGAGCCAGTTGCTTCACTTTTTTGCATGTTTACCATGTGAAAAGTGGGTATTATAATAATACCTACCAGGTAGTTTCCAGGATGCAGTGATATAACACAGGTGAAGGAATTTCATGAACTCTAGCTCCTTACTACTCAAAGTGAAGTGATGGACTGGGCAGCATGGGTATTGCCTGGGAGATGTTAGAAATGCAGAATCTCAGGCCCCACTCCACACCTGCTGAATCAGAATCTGCATTGTTAAAATCAGCTGCAGATGCCCAGGCAATTCATATGCACATTAAATGAGAAATACTGGTCTAAAGCACTGTGGATATGTACAGGATGAAGGATGAGAAAACTGCTGAACTGCCATCTCTCAAATGTGCAAAGGGACGCAGGAGACAGCTTCAGAACCTAGGCAGTTACTGGCCCAGCTGGGCACTTTCTCCCACTATACAGAGAAGTGGTGCCCCTGCCAACAGTGAACTGTCATGAAAAGAGAGATAAAGGAAATGATTGACACAGCAGTGAAATGTGCTGTCACGTTGCCTCCTGGGTAGCTCCCGGTTTCCTTCTAGCACTGGCACTCTGGATAGACAGGGGCACCTCCCAAAATCAGCAGCAGGATGTAAAGACCTGGACAGGCCCTGAGCACCCCATGAGCCACACATCTCAATCCTGTGAATAACTCTGGGAGCTCTAATATTGTACAGTGGGGCAGCTGGAACAAAACCACTCGCAAAGCCGTGGATGCAGCCTGGTTGTCTTTCTAGAAGCCCACCTCCATGCCTAGTAGCCCCTGGGATCCACCCAGCAAAATGAAAACCTGGCCTTCCCCTGTGGGACAACAAGATATGGACAGCTATCCACATTACTTCTGACAATCTCAAATCTCAATATTGAATAAATATTGATCTCTTTCTCCCTCCTTCTGGAGGACCAAATGTAGGAAATATTTAGTAAAGCAAAGGGAAGAATCAGAGCTGTTCGTCTATGAAACCACTTATCCCCCAAACATATAAAGTATTTCAAGAAAAACAACTCTAATTCATATTACCAAGAAGACTGGAGAGAACGGAACCTGAATGGAAAGGGTACAAACTATGCAAAGTTTATCTCCAATTTGAAAAGTTCAAGTTTAAAAAAAAAAAAAGATTGTACCAAAATATCTAAGACTATGTAGTAAATTAATTCTTTGTTAAATTATTTTCCAGAAAAATATCAAGTGCCAAAAGTGAATTCAAAAGGAAGAAAGCCAAGACAGACTTGCAATGCCAATACCTGCCTGACGTGCATTAGTACAGCATCCTGGTTGACATCTACCATATTTGGTCAGGTTTCTGTTCTGACTGGTCATGTCCCTGGCATAGCAATTGGTAAGATTTTGGAAATCATTCCTGCCAATATCCATAGAGGCAACAGAGAAAGTGGTCAAAAACTACCCCCATGTGAGACCCCTAGGCTATATGGTTTCATGAGCGAGCTCTCTCAAACCAAATAAGTAATTCTTGTGCTCTTTAAACTATTCAATAACAGAGAAAAAATGGAAAGCCTCGCTATTAAAAAACAAACAAGCATAATTTTGATGTGGTAACCTAAGGAAGATACCATAAAGGAAAAAAAAAAATCACAAACTACTCTCACTTTATGAATGTAGAGGCAAGAAGCCCAGGATAAGCCATCTTGTCAGCAGGTCTGGGTATGTGATTCTTCTGCAGGAGCAGATGTTGTAGGCATGAAGAGGGAAGCCAACTCATTCTTCCAGGGCTGGGGTTTTGATAGAAGGCTAGGACAGGACAATTGGGCAAGGAGAGTGGCTGAAGTGATGAAGTAAGAGGGAAGAAGTAAAACAAGGAGGGGCCTGAGAGAGAGGGGTGAAGTGAAAGTAAAGGTGAGTATCTCTGCAGGCTAGGAGCGACGGAACTGAGACGCCATCAAACTGTGAGCCAATGAAGAGCACTGGAGGCCTTGGGGTGGAGATGGAGTTGTGGGCAGCTGAGGAGGCCAAGGATATGGGAGCTGATTTACCACGGGAAGAGAGGAACACTCCAGAGGACAATGGAAGGCTGGGTTCGGGAACTGCATGAGTAGGACGATGTTGAGAGCAGGAGACAGATGACTAGAAGGCTGACATCTAGGGCAAGGACCAAGGATACACACAGCCACTACACATGACCAACTGTTCAACCTCATTAGTAAACAAATATAAATGAGAGCAAAGCGGTATCGTTTTGCACAAATCAACCAGCAAAGATATCCAAGAAAGAAAACACTCAGTGCTGGTGAGAACAAAAGGATGTGTGCACAGACACTGAGCTCCAATATCTTTGACCTCAGGGATAAAAAGCAAGATACAACATAAGGGTCCATAAATGAGCAGTTGTTGAGTGAACAGTGGTCCTCCCATGAAACAGACTATTACTCAACTCTTAAAAGTTAATACGTAGCATTATTGATATTGAAATATTTACTGCTGCATCAAAAAGCAGTTTCTAAAAATACAGTTTTAATATGCACATATTTGCACAAATATAGAATCTGAGTGTTTTACCTTCTCTTTCCTTACATGCGCTTTTTTTTCTACAATGAACTTCTAAAACACGATAATAAAACAACAAAACGTCACCCTCTTGATTTAAACCCTTCAATGCTACTACGGGCTTCGGTCCAAACTCCTTAACACTCCAAGCCCCTTCGTGAAGTGTCCTGGCCTTTTCCCTCAACCCCCACCCAAATCTCACTCAAAAAGTTCCCTGAGGACCCAGGCCTTTTTGTACTGCAGCTCCCCCTGCCCAGCACGTCCCGCCCACAGCTCCCAGGACCCAGCAGTAATGTCCCCCGGCCTGGCGCTCCCCGGCCCCACTGGCGGAAAGGCCCGGTTCCACGGGGGCAGGTGACGCGCACGGAAACTCAGCGGGCTTGGGCCCACCGCATGACCGCCCCGGAACCCTGCGCGCGGGGACAGGTAGCCCCCGGGCCCCGAGCCGGGAACGGGCCGCAGCGCCCGAGCGGCAGAGGAGCCTCTAGATTCCAGGCATGGGGTCCGGTGGGGCTGTCTCCAAGGCCGGGCCGGGTGGGGGGACCCCGGCACGGTCCGCCGCAGCCTCACCTTGGCGCTGCTCACGAAGCGGACTTCCACGGCTACCCGGGCTCTGCCCGCCACGCCCACGCAGAAGGAGAACACGTCGCACATGGAGGCCGCCATCTTGGGCGTACCTCCGCCTGCTGACCCTTGACCCCGCCTCGACCCGGGAGGCCCCGCCCCTCACTGGCACCGACCCCAGCGTGAGCGTCCCCGAGGCTGCGAGGGTTTGCGCGCTAGCCGGTCTTAATTTGGATCTTTTTGGTTTATGTATCTGTAGGTTAAGTAGTTCGTTTACTGGGTGTAGCTGGGCCTGCCTTTGCGCAGTTTTGCCTCTGTCTCTATCTTCGTGGCCAGTACCAGAGCTTGTGTGTGCGTGTAGTTTTGATCTGTGTACCTGTATCCGAGTTCACGTTTGTGTTTGTTGTCTCTGCCACCCAGTGGTCCGTCTTGAGTAAAGCGCTCTCTGGACCCAGTCATGGGGTGGGACAGCAACGGGCTGACTTACTGCTATCCTCTCTGGCCCCCAACCTGAAGGGAAGAACTAGCTTACCCCACCTATCCATCCTACAAAGTCCGGCGCAAGATTTCCTATTTCCGTAGGCAGTCTGGCAGCGGGACAGACTGTCCTACGAAAGATCAAGCTGGACATGTGTCTTCCTCAGACTCTTCAGGGCGTAGGGACCTTGTAGCCTGGGGGTGCTGGAGGGTCTAAGGACCCGTGAAATTGTATGCAGAAGTGAGTCTGCAGATTCTCATTGTCCTGACAACAGGAGAGGGACCTATTCTCTTGTTCAGGACTGACCTGAACATTTGTCCCCACAGCCAGGCCTGACCACCATGTCTGTTCTCTCGTCCTCCAATTGATTCCGTGCTACTTGAAAAGGGACCTGTGTCTGCATCTGCTGCGGTCTCATGGTGACATTTAGGGATTTGATAGAGCCCAGTAACTGCTGAATAGGTCACTGCTGGTGATTAAAAAAAAAAAAGTGAGCCGATGGTTCCTGGAAGAGGCAAATGTAGCTGTGTTCCTTTAATAGAGCTGACTGGGTCCAGCATTAGGAAGGATTTCCCCGAAGACAGGAACAGGAGGGTTCTTGAAGCTGGACCCTGGCTTCCCTCCAGCTGCAGCTTGGTCCTGGAGGCGATGGTCAACTGCCTTGGCGGCAGGTGGTTTCCCAAAGCCACCCCTGGCTCCCTGCCTTTCCTCCCTCCCTCAGAAAACTCTGGAGAGCAGTGTGGACCATGCCCTCTCTCACCACCAGGTGGCAGGGCAGTCCTCCTTCCACCAGTTCATCTCAACACCCAGAAGTCATTCTGTATTCTAAATGAATACCCTCAACGGAAGCCCGCCAGGGAATGTGGAGTGCTAGAGAAATTAGCTCTGGAAATATTGGTGGCAGGCTTCACAAGAGTAGGCTATCAGCTACGCTTCTTGGAAAGAAACTGAGTAGATTCCTGGGAAGGAATGGGAGCCATGAGAACTGGTTGTGAAGCAGGGGAATAATAATACAGCAGAGTTTATGACAAAATGCCAGTTTTGGCAAAGGCAGAGTTAAATCTCTCTGTATGAAGATGGATAGGGGGTCAAGTCAAGTAGCTAGACGGAAAAAGATGGTGTTCAGGGTAGCATGTCTGCTCCACGGAGGCAGCTGGGCCTGAGCTCCTTCTGAGAGTGCTAACAGTTCAGACAAAATAAGAAAACTTTGGTAAGTTCTGTGAGAGGAAATGGGCTAAATGGTCTGCCCTTCCTTCTCTGCTCTCAACTCCACCATCTCCAATGGGGAAGTCTTCTAGGCCCATGTACTGATTCAAGGAGGCCCTCCCTCGTCTACAGCCAGGCCAGGCAAAGATTAATCCCTGGAGAAGCCAGGGGTGAGGTATTACTCCCACAGATGAAGGGGACCTATAAGCCTTAATAGTTACTGCACACTTAGTACTGAGCCTGGCACACTATAAGTGTTTTACAGACATCATCTCAGCCCTGGGAGGTCTACGTTATCAACATACCCATTATACAGGTGGGGAAAAAAACTTCAGAAGTTCGGTAACTTAGCCAAGGACACAGCTGAAGGCCAAAGTCTGTACCCATGACCATTTGCATTATTACAGCTCCCAGGGGTAGATATAGGAAAGGGGGGCCCCTGCTTGACAGTTCGGATTCCCCTGATGCCCTTTGACCTGACAAGCTCTTCATTAAGAATTGGAACAGGGAGGTCCAGTTGGTGCCCCCAGGAAGAACTAGCCCAAACAGCTTGGGTTGAGCCTCTGTCCCAGTCCTCAGCTGTCCACTCCTGACTCTGCGTCTTCTCTCTGGATGGTGGTGTTGGAGCTGCTGGAGGGCTCATCCGGGGAGGCAGCCATGGCAGATGCAGCTGGCAGTCTCAGCCTTTGCTGCTTCTGATACTTAACCCTGCGGTTTTGGAACCAGACCCTCACCTGTAATTGAGGCAGTGAGAAGAGATCAGAATGTGACCAGCAGTTCCCACTGCTTCCCCCATTCCCACAGTCCCTACTCCTCTCTGGTCAAAATTTACTCTTCATTCTAAGGGAAGCACACCCTTCCCTCTAATTCCAGTCACCACTCATTCACTCAGCAAATATTTATTGAGCTCCTGATATGAACTAGGCATCACCCTAGGTGATGGTGATAATAGTGAGCAGTAGAGGCATGATCTCTGCCCTCATGGAGCTCATAGTCTAGTGGAGGGAGACTAATAACAAACATGGAAACAAACGTATAAACACAAAAGGGGGTATGAACAGGGGTTTGAGCCTCCCTGAAGAACCAGCACTTACGATGAGGCTCAGAGGATGAGAGGCCAGCCCGATGGGGACAGAGAAAAAAGCAAGCCAGGGCAGGGGAACCAAGCTTGGAGCGTCTGAGGACCAAAAAGGAGGACAGCATGGCAGGCACATCTGAGAGGGGAAAGCAAAGGAAGGGAAACTGTGAAGGCCATGGGTTAGAAGTGTCAACTTCGAGCTTTTAAGTGGGATGCAACACAGTCCTATTTACATGTCAAGTAAACTGCACATCTGGCAGTTGTGTGAAGAATGGATATAAACAGATTTGGGGAGATAGCTGGGGAGACTATTGCAGGGATCCAGTGAGAGCTGGGGCTGCACGCTCCCTTCCCTGTGTGATGAGAAAAACGGTTCCATTTGGAACTGGGGGCAATGGAGAAAAATGAAATGATTCCAGTTGTATTTTGGAGGTAGAAGTGAAAAGGCCAGCTGATGGATTGGAAGTGGGAGAGAAAGAGGAATCTAGGATGACTAAGTGTTTTGAGCAACTGGGTGGACAGTGGTGCCACGTGTGGGAAAAGGAAGAGATATGGGGAGAAAAAAAATCAAGAATTGAGGTTCTGACTTAAGTTTAAAATGGCTGCCCACAAGACATCCAAGTGGAGGCCTCAAGAAGGTAGTTAGATGTACAAGTCAGGAAAGAGAGGTGGGCTGAAGATAAAAATTAGGGAGTCATTGGCTTACAGATAGTATTTAAAACCCATGGGGATAGATTAAATCAGCTAGGGAGGAAAATTTGAGGTCACAAAGAGAAGAGTTGCCTACAAAGGCAACCAAGAAGAAAGGACCAAAAAGCCAGGAGAAAAACCAAGAGAATGTGGTGTCTGGAAGCCAAGAGAAGAGTGTATTTCATAAGAGAAGGAGTGGTTGACTGTACTGAGTGGTGGGGTAAGATGAGGAAAGGAAAGCATCTGCTGACTTTGGCAACATGGAGGACATTAGAGACCTTGATGAGAAGGTTCAATGAAATGGTAGGTAAAGAATTCACATTGCAATGAGTTAAGGAGTAGATGGGAGGTGAGGACATACAGAGAACATAGCCAGTTCTTGATAGGTTTGCCTCTGAAAAGAGCAGAGAGATGATGCCGTAGCCAGAGGGGAATATGAGGTCAAGGGAATGTTTATTATTTTTAATATTTAGTCCCTTGAATACCTACTTAATTTCACTGTCAGCTCCTTATTTAGCATGGAGACATTACATTATAAAGTTCTAGATTAACACCATGTGTTGTTTCCATAATGTGATTTCAAATAGGACTATTTTTCTCAACATATAGGGAAGGGAGTGTGCCAGTGGTTAGGGCCTGTCTCCCCCATCGGCATGGCACAGAGGATGAAGGCCTATAAATTCCTCCCAGCCCCAACTCAGGGTCTTTGAGAGAGTAGTATCTGTCCCTTGGTGCAGCCCGGGCCCCACAGGAGTCCCTGCTCTCACCTGGTTCTCTGTAAGGTTGAGCTGGGCTGCCAGCTGGGCTCTCTTCTTCCCCACTAGATTGTGCTGTTTTGCAAACACTTTCTCCAACTCTTCCAACTGCTCCAAGTTAAACATGGTTCGGACCCTCTTTTGGGATCTCTCAGTGTCCTGAAGGTCCTGAGCTTGGGCCCAGTTGCGGGGACCCCAGAGGCCTAGGCAGTGAGCCAGCTCCAAGCCTGAAGAGCAATTAGCAGGAGGAGAGGTTAGCCAGTAACCCCCTAGCTTCTCATCTTAGAGGAGAGAGAACAAGCTCACAGCTCCACTGCCCTGTCTTACCCTTGGCCAGGTAATACAGCAAGAAGGCAGGGTGGGAAGAGACTGCGCAGAAGTAAAACAAATGAGAAAGAAGGGCCAGTGTTGTGAGACTGCTTCGGGCTCCATTATTCTTCAAGTGAGTGGCATAATCTTTGGCCCTAAGAGGAGCTGCCAAACCTCCATCTCTCCTTTCCTTTCCTTGGCTACTTCAGGAAAACCCTATGGGATGAGCAGAGGAGAGACCTGCTTCTGAACAAAGAGTGAGGGTTCATCCTTTTTGTTCATTCAACTTTTTGAATGTCTACTATGTTTCAGGCATGGTTCCAGGACAAAACAGAAAATCCCTAACAGTAAAAAAAAGGCAAATAAGTAAAATATTGAGTATGTCAGAAAAGGATTAGCACTAGTGAGAAGAATAAAGCAGGGAAGGACAGGGTTAAGTGTGTGGGAAGTGGAGGGGGGATAGTTTGTATCTTTAGAAAGGTAGGCACCTCACTAAGTTGACACTTGAACAGGGCCACTATGTATAGCTTGTGCCCTGCACACAGGTACCCAGCTGAGAGGGTAAGTGGAGTCTGAAATTCTGACCACTCTCCACAGGCCAATTCTTCCTGCCTGA